CTCGCCGCGCGGCCGCGGGCCGCCCGCCCCCCCGCCGCCCCCCCCCCCCCCCCCCCCCCCCCCCCCCCCCCCCCCCCCCCCCCCCAGTTAACCAACCATATCCATCAGGGCTGGCCTCCCACGACTCATGCCCTTTTTGGGTGCTGAGCAGGACCCCACCGCCCTAGATATGGTAGCATCCCGCACTCCGTGACAAGTATCTTTTGTCAGAGAAGTGCTTCGGCTTCAGTTGCTTCCAGGAGGAAATTAGACGTACCGAGATTCCGGAGAGCTCTAGCGGATATCCTTTTAGCTATCGTCCGAACAGGGAATATCCGTTTGGATACAAGGTAGGCTGCAACACATAGGCAAAAGTTGCGAAGCGTACGTAGACGTGGGATGACTGGGTGCCAATGTACCGGACCCTGCCAAGCTCTCAAGCAGGGGGCTAACATACCGGTTATGGTTTTATATGCTCTAAACATATGAATCTCTAAGTTAAAATATGGCCGATATATTTATATAACTCGCTAAAGACGGCATGACAGGCTAAAAGTCTGCTTAACTTGGATATCATGTCGGTACGTAGAAGCAAAATATGAGATTGTAAAGGTGGCTGTGAGCGTAGAAGCACTCAGGGCACTTATAACCCGTATCCACAGTTGTTTCGCTGATGTTTGATTGGGATAGTTTTCCGTTTCAACTAACTGTATGATCGAATCTGGGCAAGTCTAGGCAGCGAAACGAACCCCCCCTGCTATTCGGCCTGCGCAAATGATACCGTACCTAATAAGGCAACGTTGATCGAGTACTCGTACCCACCAGCCCTGCAGTGTTAATACATAGCAAAATTAATACCTAGCAACCCAGAGCCATGTCATGAGCCTTATATTTAGTGATTTATGTGCGTGACACGGTGATGGTACGGTATGAGTCCGTAGCTGACTCGCTAATTGCAAGCCACCAAATGTCCTTGTTTAAGCAAATCCGAGAAAAGAGCCGACTTGGACTTTCAGCAGCCAGCCTGCAGGGCGTGATGCAACGTAGGCAATATCATATGATGTTGTCATAAGGTGAAGATACGTCTAAAGCGTCTCTCCGGTATGCAGGCAAGGAGAGAAAAATGCATGGAAATACCTGGATATTGACAAATGCCTTGACAAATGCCCTGCCATATGCGCGCTGCGGGTAACTGCTTGCATCTATCATGTTGTCATTGGGCATTTCTGTGTCACAAGCTGCATTGTTGTATTCTTCTAGGAACGATGATAATTTGCGGGCTTACCGGAGAAATGTGTAGGCCATTGAGCAGAGAAACAGCTGACCTAACAAGTAGGTACCTAGTCATAACTCGTACTTTAATGCCTCTCGAAGCAGCTTATGCTGAGGGAGTTTTAGGACAGACATTCCGCCTACGTGACTGCTCGACAGTCTGTGAATAGTAACGTTCATTTGCTGTAGACTAGTAGTTGCACCGGATGAAAGATATAGTAATAGTAGTAAAACGAATGCAACGCTCTGCTACAGTTATTATACCTAAGGTAGATAGCCACGTGAAGATTAGATGAATTCATCGGGAAGTAGGTTATAAGTTGGTTGGGTAAAACAATGATAACTTTCACGAGGTTTAGCGTCAGGTACACAATACTACATGTAAGCATATATTGAGTTATACCATATCTACCTCACTATCCCACTACCCCACAAACTTCAATAATACTTAGGTACCTATCTTCGATAAGGTATTGTACTGACATTATACCTACAGCGCCCGATGCTGCTGAAGTAATGGCAACTTTTAACGAATACTTTTTTCGTCAATATGCGGCTCGGTTGACAAAGTTACAATATTTGCCTGTTAATAGCCCCAAGTTACTTCATACAGTTACTAACTACCTTAGGTAGGTATATACACACCCTTATTCCCGTCCTGGAGAAGAATATCTATTGTGTACGCCTAAATCGTAATGGTATGCTGAATTGTCGGCCATGACTAAAACAGTTTTCCAGGCAGTCTCCTATTCGTCGCATTGGGTGGTGGTGAATAAGGGGAATAGGCTTCCCATATCAAGCATATCGAGGACCAGCATCTCTTAAAATCATGTCTCAGCACCAGCCTGCACAGCCTAAGTCAGTCCTTCGAGGACATCGTACCCAGGTGCATGTCACTACCTTCGTTAGGAGAAACCAAAGACTGGCGTCTGGTGATGCAGATGGGTTCGTGGTACTCTGGGATCTTACCATCATGCGTCCCCGGGCTGTCTGGCGCGCTCACACAAACGCTATCCTCGGCATATCCGACTGGGGAGACGACAAGATAATCACGTAGGTCTAGTCTCATGTCACAGCATATACTCCTGCTATATCTATCTCCTATTTAAACCTGATTTCGCAATGGGCTGCCACGTGGCTGAGAAGCATCTCTCAGACATGGCAGAGACAACCGCTTGGCAGTATGGAAACTTGGACTCCAAGATGAGATTACTATGAGCACCTCCCTGCCGCTCGACGAATCCGTACTTGAGAGACCACAACCGTGGATACTGCATATACTCTATGTGAATACAATGAACTTTTGTTCTTTTGCGTCCTGCCCTACAGCACCAAATCCTACCCACGACGAGCTCTTCATTGCTGTGCCTAACACGTTGGAGACCGAGGCTGTGAGTCTATTATCTTTTGTTCCTCCCCCTTTTTGGGACATCTTCTGGTGTTTCTGCTCACCCTTCAACGCAGGTTGATATTTTCCAACTTCCAAGCCAGAATCGGCTGTATACCTTTAATATAGGGGGTAAGACGGAGAAGAAAGGCATGGTTATGTGTCTATCCCTATTTTGGCACCAAGGGTATCTGACTCTCGTCGTTGCCTATGAATCCGGCCTTGCAGTAGTCGCGCGACTTAAAAGAGGTGAAACGTGGGACATACTGTACAGAGCACAAATGCATAGTCAACCGGTGCTCTCACTCGATTTAGATCCCCTCGAAGGTTATTTCCTGACTTCTGGTGCTGATGCTATTATCGCAAAGCACCCGGTTCCTACCGCAACTTTCCCTATCCGGGAGTCACAACATCCGGAAAAAACAGTCGATAAGAATGCCGAAGGCTCGAGCTTGTCGCTACTATCAGCTGCACTTTCATCAGAGCCGAAGCCCGAAATACCCCCGAGACAGGAGAAGCTGGCTATTGAAACGAAACCCCTGAAGACTATCAATACTAAACACTCGGGACAGCAAAGCTTGCGCATCCGATCTGACGGCAAGATTTTTGCGACCGCGGGATGGGATTCGAAAGTCCGTGTCTATTCGGCCAAGACCATGTCCGAATTGGCAGTGCTGAAGTGGCACGACGTTGGCTGTTACGCAGTTGCTTTTGCAACGTTAGATGACGGCCAAACATCAGGCTCCCCGAAGCGAGACGATAGCAACGCTGAAGTCAGTGAAGGATCCCAACCCGAAACAGTTGCTCCCAGTACTTCAGATAACCAAAAGCCCACCACGATGATCGCGTCTAAGCTGGGCCAACTCAGCGTTAAGGATCGACGGGTTAAGATGGCGAAAGAGGCCCATTGGTTAGCAGCTGGTAGCAAGGATGGTAAGATTAGCTTATGGGACATCTATTAAGACTCAATTATATTGTCCAACAGAGCTTCACGACGTTAAAGGCGATATATACTCCTAATTGTTTTTCATATCCGCACTATAACGTGAGTAATTAATATCACGGGCATTGCTATGTGGACTAAGCAATGACCTAGGGGTGATGATGGTATATTCGTTCCCATCGTTTTACATGGTCTTAGATCGTCGATCCCAACATGTATTCTATATATACGTCCGCCTTCTAATTCTTATGCTGTCGCAGTTTTGGCGTCCTGGGTAACTAGTTCGTCCTTAGTATCCTCTTTCATAGCCGCATCTAGTTCTGCCTCAGCAGGCGGAACTACTATTCCATATTTTTCATATGGGAAGTTAGTCAGGTCGGTGTAGTAGTCGGCCCATCCGTCGCCAATTTCTCCTAATTGGTGCACATCAACATCGCCCGCCTCACCCATACGTCCAGCTAGGATCTCTGGTTCTCGGCCTTCGTATTCCTTCTTCAGCATTGGGTGAGGGCACCATACTACTCTCATGCCTGCTCGTCTTCCGGCTTCGACTCCTGGGACGCTGTCCTCAAAAACGAGACATTCTTCAGGTGTAATTGGGTTTTCTCCAGCCCCGAGGCTATCATTGATAGTCTTTAGTGCAAGGAGGTAGATATCCGGGAGGGGTTTTCCGCGGCCGGGCTGGATGCGTTTGTCGTCGCCTAGCACCCTTCGATGGGATTCGAATACAGAAAACAATTCGGTCCACTTGGAAGTTTTGACTGTGAAATTGGAAGTAGTGCTGCTTGTCGCTAGCGCAATATGGACTCTTTGCTGTTTCTTTCTACCGCTCTCTCCTTTATCCCCGTTCCTGACGCCTTCTTGATCCTTTATGTCCCACCAGCGTGTCCTCCCCAAGTCTCCAAGCAATTTTTCTACACCTGGTAAAGGCTTTGCGGTGGGAAAGTGTTGCTGCTGCAAAGCAGTAAGCTGGGCGAGGTAGTCGGACTCTTCGATGGGCAGCTGGGCCCATTCATGAAAGAGGGCATTTGCTTCAGGACCCGGTCGGCCTTGTAATCTAGCCTTGATAGACCACGGCAGCGTACTTTTGCCGTACTTTTCGAGGATGAGGTTTATGCAGAGTGTATAAAGATCTTCGGTATCAAGAAGCAAACCGTCCATGTCGAAGAGGCAGGCTCTTATGGGTGGGAAGCTTTAGAGTATAGCTGTTAGTTTTTACTGCCGTAACTAGTTGCGAACGGGGGTTTACTTGCTCTGTGCGAGGCGCCATCGTGTTTGATTATGATATTGAAGAAATGCTATTGTATGTAGTTCGTTTAAAGTGTAGTAACCAAATCTCTTATGGAGATTTTGACTTCAAACGTGATGTTTGATCTCAATGGTCTTAAATGCCGACTATATGCGAATAGGTACCTAACCCCGCCTGGAACATATAGATAGGAGGTACATGTACCTATTCAACCTTCTGTACCTAGGTATTTTCTGATTGAATTTATGGCGGGGCAGTCGCGGGGTATCTCTCCGGCCACGTAAAACAGGGCTGACAGGCACCGAGCCGTAGGTTTCTTCAGGGGTAACCTAAGAGTCTTAGGCTAAGACTCTTATACATGTATGTATTTGCATAATAAGCGGAGTAACCTTGATGCGTGCATATCAGCTACGAATTTAAAGTTTAAGTGTAAGTTAAGATCTTGCGATCGACTCTTCATTATACGTACGGAATCTACCTTCTGGTCTTCAGCTCTCAAGTCTTTCATCGCAAAATTATGGCCGGCTCTCCAGAGACGACGGAGAAGAAATCTAATAAAACTACGATACATAATGCAAACGAAGACGCCGAAGACGAGTTGACAGCCCCCGAAAGGTTTCCGCCCGAGGAAGAAGCTGTACGTGTATCTTTTATCTGTACATGAAACATATATTTTCTGGCATTTTCGTCTGATTATATTATGTCTATCCCATTCTATAGAGCCTTTTAGGGGAATCCAACGATAAAAAGTTCGAAGCGAACGCGCTGTTTGCCTCAGCCAAGTACGAGAATGCTATTACGAAATACGAAGAAGCTACTTCAGTTTGTCCACATTATTTAGACTACGAGCTTGCCGTATTAAAATCCAACATTGCCGCATGCCATCTGAAACTCGAGCAATGGAAGGAAGCTATCAAGGCAGCTACCGATTCCATTAACGGCTTGGATCGCCTAGAAAAAGCCGAAGCTAGCCAAAAGGAGGACGAAGAAAAGCAAAAGGAACCAAACGTTGAAGAAGATGAAGTTGAAGAGGAAATCGTCAGCTCAGGGGCTCAAAAAAGTGCTCCCGCTGCAAAGGAGGAAACCACCGCTGAGGTTGAGAGGCAGAAAAGGCGTAATGACATCCTTAGAATTCGAGCGAAAGCTTTGATGAGACGAGCTAAGGCAAGGAGCGAACTCGGGGGATGGTCGAATCTATCTAGTGCTGAAGAAGATTACAAGACTCTATCGACCATGGCAAATCTCAGTGCTGCGGACAGGAAGATTGTTCAAACGCAATTAATAATCCTTCCTTCAAGAACGAAGGCGGCCCAAGAGAAGGAGATGTCAGAGATGTGGGGGAAGTTGAAGGACGTAAGTAACGATCGCCGAATAAAAGCGTGTCTCGTTGGGTTTAGTTGCTGATCAAATACGTACAGCTTGGAAACGGAATATTGAAGCCTTTTGGTCTCAGTACGGACAATTTCAACATGGTAAAAGACGAGAAGACCGGCGGTTACAGCATGAACTTCTCTCAGAACGGCGCGAGTCAATAATACAGATCCTGGTGTTACACACCGCCATAATATTAATACTGAGCCCTACCCCTGGGCCTGAACGTGTAAGATTGATTTCAGATTCTAAAGTTGTTAATAATTTCAAGGGCAAAGTATTTGCCGCATCATGTGCTTAGTGATCTTTCTGTTTCCTTTTGTCCTTTGGTGGATTGCTCCCAACTGAACTAGCAAGGCTCTATTTTCCTCTATCAAACCAACATCACCATTCTAGATTCCATATTTCTTGTCATTGACACATAAATTCAGGGGAGCAACAAATGTCGTGATAAATTCATGCCCAACAGCATATTTGCTCATAGCCATTAATAAGCGGGTTTATATTTCACCCTTAGACTATCTCATCTAGTTTACGGCGAAGCCTGCTTCTCATGAACTAGTAAGGAGCACGACGCCCGGTCATGTAATAAATATAATTAAGATGACCAATAAGAAGCTCTACCATATATCTACGATACTTACTATGCTGAATCTAGCCCCACCATAGGTCCCATACAAGAGCGTTAGTGTTACGTCTGGTTAGATGAGACGACATGGTAGGACATGTTTATCTTCACCGGGCTTTATGTAAGTGATCGAGGTCCCCGTAATCCGGCTTATACTACGAAAGTTGTTAAACGACTCTACCGTCCGGACCCGGCCTTTTACATGGGGTTGACTTATCGTACACTTGGCTGCGTCGTATCGCTATCTTATGGAACATCTCCGCAGCTAAGACGTATAGTAACCACACATACGCTGATAAACCTATTGGATCATCTATCACCCGCATGGCTTATCGCAAAGTAGGAGACTATTATACATTCTTTGGTATCCCAAGATAGAATTCGAGTTGGAGTACAGCTCATAGTCAGAAGCACCCGGAAATCTAGTACATATATCTTACACTCAAACAGCAAAACAATTCATTATCAAAACCCATCGCTAATATGGCTCCAGCCACGGTCACGATTGCTAACGGAGCAACATGGCAAGACGTAGCAGCCGATCGCCAACAGCACAGGGACGCGACAATCGCAGAAGTCAGCCCGCCGGTACCGGATGTACGCCAGGAAGACATCCCTCTTAATACTACAGGAATCCCGAAGAAACTTCTGACAAAGCAGGAAATCGAAATCACTAACATAGATGCCGAAAATCTTGTCAAGAAGATAACCTCAGGCGAATGGAGCTCGACAGCAGTAACCAATGCTTTCCTGCGACGTGCTGGCCTCGCACAGAAACTCACGAACAGTATCACGGAATTGTTGTCTAAACGAGCTTTGTCCAAAGCGGCCGAGCTGGACCAGTACCTGGCTACTAACAAGAAGCCTATTGGCCCGCTTCATGGCATTCCGATCAGTGTTAAGGAGCATATCGCCATTAAGGGTGAAGACCTAAATGCCGGGTTCGTAGGCTGGGTCGGCCGAGTCGCTGAGGAGGACGCGTTGATCATTCAGTATCTGGAGAGCGCTGGGGCGGTGATCTTCGCGAGAACGACTGAGCCGCAGACTTTGATGCAAATTGAGACGGAGAGTAATCTATACGGGTAAGACACAGTTACACTAATACTATCATGATGAATGCTTATAAAGATGGTATCTCATTCGCTAACAATTGCCAAGAATTACCGTAAATCCCTACAACACAACCTTAAGTTCCGGGGGCTCGTCCGGCGGAGAAGGCGCACTGATCGGGCTCCGAGGCTCGATCCTTGGAATCGGAACAGACATTGGCGGGTCTATTCGCGTTCCCGCAGCCAGCAACGGGCTCTTTGGCTTCAAGCCTACCACTCTACGATTACCAACCGACGGCTGGTCCGCCGCCATGGCGGGCACTGAGTCTATCCTTGGCACCACTGGTCCTATCTCAACCAGCCTCGAGGGTCTCCGGGTTTTTACCAAGTCCATTATCGACCAGAAGCCCTGGCTGAAGCAACCGAGTCTGATCGGCTTGGACTGGAGAGACTCGGCGCAGTATTATCCGGATCGAAAACTTAGGGTGGGCGTTATTTATAACGACGGTGTTGTAAGGCCACATCCGCCTGTGCTTAGGGCGCTAAATGAACTTGTGGGAAAACTGCAGAAGAGCCCAGATATTGAGGTTGTGGAGTGGAAGCCGTGGAAACATGATTTGGCATGGTCTATCATCGTGCGTCTTATCCTCCTTCATAACAGGACAGCTCGTATTAGCTATCCCTTGTGATAGGTACCTAACATAGTTACTAACCCCAATACAGGCAAAGCTCTACTTCGCCGACGGCGGCGCCGACGTGAAAAAAGCCGTCGATTCCTCCGGGGAGCCCTGGTGCCCCCTGGCCAAATTCATCCTCCACGAAAACCCGCACGTAACCTCCCACACGATCCCCACGCTCTGGGACGCCGTGTCCGAGCGCGACGCCTACCGCACCGCGTACGCGAACCTCTGGAACGCGCACCCCGTCGACGTAATCCTGTCACCCGCAGGCCCTGGCGTCGCGACTAAACACGGCACCGGCCGCTACTGGGGATACACCGCACAGTGGAATCTGCTCGATTACCCGGCCATTGTGTTTCCTACGACTGATGCTGTGGGGGATGCTGCGCGCGAGGGCGAGTATGAGTACCCGGAGGGTTATGAGCCACTAGGCGATATAGATGAGTACGTGTATGGGTTGTGGAAGGAGCATGGCGCGGAGGGATATAAGGATGCGCCGATTTCGTTGCAGCTTGTTGGACGGAGGTGAGTGGACCAGGTATTCCCCCTTTCATTCATTGATGGTTGGACTAACGTGTGCGTCTATAGGTTTGACGATGAGAAGCTATTTAGGGCTGCGCAGATTCTACTCGAGGAAGCTGGGTTGCCGGCTGCTGTTCCCGCGTAGGGTGGCTGTTGGGTCGAGGGCTGATCTATCTTGAGCTTAATGCAAGCTTTTCTTCTCAAATATGTAGTAGTTTTATATTTATGGCTTAGCTACTTAGCAAAATGGTATGCTAAATATTAAGGGGCCCTGGTTTTGGGCTTTGAAATGAATATGTTTTGTAGTTGACGTAGCTCAGAGTCCTACATAATGTTGACCTCAATGAACATAGACTTCTGGTGCTTTGGAATTAAACGGGGATCCGATGAAGAAAAAAGTTTACTTATTTTAACTCACGATAGGATGCTGGATGTATAAGGACCAGTTCGACTGGGACTTTAAGAGCCGTGACAATTGTTTGACATAGGTAGGTAGGTAGAGATGACGACTACCGACCATTCGCGAATTTCTGTTCCGTCAAGTAAAAATTACACATTCTATTAATATAAACGTGAAACGTGGGACTGGTATTCATCGTCTGTTTACCCAGTTGCCGTTTTGCTCTTGGTAAGTAGACTCTTGACCTTCCTCGCTTCGTGGTTCTAGAGCCAAGGGAATACTCAAACATTGTTGGTTAAATGTCCTTTAGCACACTATTTTAGTTTGACGACTCTTACTTCTTCACGAGCGATGAAGTAATCTGTCGTTCAACGGATATATAATATTTTCCGTCTAATGAAGCCCGGCAGTGGTTGATGCAAGAAATTGATAGCCGGATGGCGCTCCAAGAAGTCGATGTATACTTTTGCATATTGTCGTCTGCTTGATGCGCCTTCGCTCGGGCATACCTCATGCCTATTTCGAAGATCCCTCGAGCTTGGGATATCATTGAATCTTTACAATGGTAGTAGCGTAGGCGCACAAAATAACTTAGGGTGATGACCTTATCGCACGGTTTTGTGCACTTGAAGGCTTAATTCATGTGGGTGTATGATATAACTGTTCGAAATCCAATCAATATTGGTTCTCAAAGCTTTTCCAGGAAATGCGGCTTGAACTTCTTGTTCGCGCGATCAGCCGACCGGTACTGAAACTGATCCCCGTGGATCTCGAAGGTAAAGGGTTTCCGGTCCGAGGCCGAGGCTATAGTATGCTCTTGCTGCAATGGAGGGACGCTGACGCGAAACATAGTTCCCTCCTTTGGTACAGTTTTTATCTGGTCCTTCGCAGTAATAATTTCAAAGACGAAGCGCGCATCTTTGATCACAATCCCTTGTATGCCAACGCGACTAGGACAATTACTACGCGACACTTCCACCTTGGCACCATGGAAGTCGGCAGCACTTAGTTTGGCTGCAGCGCCCTGCCCCCCAGTGTATAGCTCGCTACCAAGCACCTCGCGGATGTAGCCTAGCCATAGCTGGTTCAGCGGCTCGAATACGGCATATTTCTGACCTGATTTGGGAACGTCGTAGAGACCAAGCTTCCGTCGCTGTCGTGCTGATAGAGGTTTCGACTTTAAGGCTTTCAAGCGTTTTTGCTTCTCGACTCGGGTCCTGCGTCGAGCGTCGCGGGCGTTGGACGGAGGTGGGGAGGTGGGCTTAAGGAAAAGAGGCCTGTGTTGGATCTTATCGGAGTAGATGCGGGTTACACTGTCGGGACTATGAGCCCGCGAGAGAAGTTCGTGGGTCAAGGATTGGTTGTTGCTGTTATTAGTATTGTTTGATGCCATGTTGTCGTTGTCCGCATCGTATCTCGATCCAGCATTAGTGAAGCTGTAGGTTGTTCCAATGTTTGCGATCGGGTAGGTAGGTACCTACCTATATATTATGGCTGAAGGCATGACAAAAGTTAAAATGTTAATTGGATTGAAAGATGTCGCCTATCGATAAAGCTCTAGATTAGGTACCGGGTGGATGCTTACTTGCATTAGCTGAGTGGCGTCAGGGCTGCAGGCGACTCACATGCCCTAAAGCCTCGGTATTAACCGGCTTCTAGCTCCAGCGCGTTACATGCCCTGTTATGTAGGTACCTACCCACCTACATGCCTTCCTCATTGTAGTCGGCTTAAAGCACATTGCTTACCTCTTTTAGCTACACCTTCCTTTGCGAATCCTTCCTTTGCGAATCCTTATTCACTTATATCATTCAAAAAGAAATTATTTGAAATGACACCCGATTGACGCTTATGGATCGGAATATTCAAACATCGCCATTAGTTCTTGTCTGTAGCAGCTAGACTAGATACGTGTCCGGTCGACCATGCTCGTAGCATGTAATGCTCTATACTTCTAAATTGCTGAGATACCCTCGGCCGTAGCGAATGCGAAAACCACCTATTCTTTCGATTTTGTAGTCGCATCTCAATAATCATAACATCATGGCCCAAGACGACTATCCTACGCGCGACTCGGCGCCCGATCTCCAGATACTAGGCGATCAGATCACCCTTCAACCGAGGAGTTATGTTGAAGCTCGCCGTCATGACGACCAGGAGCCCTTAATGCACAACATGGCTCGCTTCCGCTCTGAACCTCTACAGTATGCTACCTAGACCTATGCTCTCATTATTACGCAATACAGAAACTCTAATTCCTGGTCTTTTGCTTGTCTAGGTTCCTGCGCGAAGTGTCCCTGTACGTCTCCGGCACGGGATGGCGAGCTTATGACAACTTCATCGGACAACCTATATTCTATTCTGGCTTCTCCGAGAAGATGAAGAACGCCGTTGTATCTGCGCCGCTCCTGCAGACCCGCATATCTCAACTGGCCGATAAGAGATTGGAGGTTGAGGAGAAGGAAGGTTGGCTTAATAAGGATGATAAAGATTTCGTTACCAAAAAGGCTCAAAGGCGGTCCATTATAGAGTCAAGCATTCAAGAGGTTGCGGAAAAGATGACCAACGACATGATTTGCAAGTTTGAGAGCAAGACGTTTATTAGAGGCGCATATTATCTGGTTACCCAACTGCTCACCCGAGCGTACCATCAGGGTGGGTATTTCAATGATCTTGAGCTTTTGGACGTATGCATGTGTCATGTTAACCAGATGAGCAGGAATACATGTTTCCAGCGAAGAAGTTTTACGGTTGAGAAAGGTGGCCGAGATAGCGGAGAAAAAGAAGCAGAGCATCATCTTTCTACCATCCCATCGATCCCATGTTGATTATGTTTCCATGCAACTAATCTGCTACCGGCTGGGCTTGGAGCTTCCCGTTGTTGTTGCGGGTGACAATTTGAATATGCCAGTCGTTGGGAGCTTTTTACAGCATGCAGGTGAGTGCATATGCAATACTACTTCGTGTTCCAATATCCAAATACTTATTATCCAAGGCGCGATGTGGATTCGGCGGTCATTCGGCAACGACACTTTATACACCACTCTTGTACAAGCCTATATAGATACCTTACTTCAGGGGGGATATAATTTCGAGTGTTTCATCGAAGGCGGACGCTCCAGGACAGGAAAACTCCTCCCTCCAAAATTTGGTATTCTAAGCTTTGTACTCGATAGTTTATTGTCAGGTCGGGTCGAAGACGCCATAATATGCCCGGTTAGCACCCAATATGACAAGGTCATCGAAACGGAAGGCTATGTAACAGAACTACTCGGCGTTCCAAAGAAAAAAGAGAATCTGGCTGATTTCCTAAGCGGTGGCTCGTCCGTTTTATCATTGCGATTAGGGAGGGTCGATGTCCGTTTTCACGAACCATGGAGTTTACGCAAATATATCGACGACCAGCTAACCAAACTCACCAAATCTCCCGAAACATTGAACCTAGATCTTAAGACCCCAGAGAATGCTACTCTCAAACAAAGACTACTCCGAACAATGGGGTACAAGGTCCTATCGGATATTAACGATGTATCTGTAGTGATGCCTACGGCGTTGATCGGCACGGTGCTGCTTACCCTTAGAGGCCGTGGTGTGGGCAAGTCAGAACTTGTGAGACGGATCGAATGGCTCATCGCGCGAGTAGGGGCAAAGGGAGGCCGTGTTGCACATTTTGGAAATTCCCCCTTATCCGACGTTATAGAGCGAGGATTAGATGTCCTAGGGAAAGATCTCGTCGGTGTCGTGCAGGGTCTAGCAGAGCCAACATACTATGCCGTGGATAGATTTCAACTCTCCTTTTGTAAGTTATCTATCAAGTCGTTCCTTTTTCACTCTAGCCATTCCAGAGAGTCGCGACTCCCTAAGAAAACCCATGCCAGAATTTCTATTCATAATATATGCACAGGAGTCGCTTTGCTAGCTATTGCAAGGGAAGTACTAATATATTACAGACCGCAATATGACTATCCATTTATTCACTTCGGAAGCGCTCATAAGTGCTAGCATGTACACGCGCGTTAAATTAGGCGGAGGGCCGGCTCATCAGGAAATATCTTATGATGCTTTACGGAATCAAGTATTATTCCTCTCATCGCTATTCCGTGGAGAGTTCATCTTCCCAGGTGAGGGACTGGCTGTGAACTTGGAGAAGACTTTAGTCGGACTAGAAGATGACCGTGTTCTCAACCTCAAGAGAGACGAACAGGGTAACATCTTGAGCATTGGGCTTGCAGATGAAGAGAGGGTCGCTGGAAGAGAAAACTACGATTTCTATTGCTTCCTAATATGGCCATTCATTGAGTCCACCTGGCTTGCCGCTGTCTCATTGATGGGCCTTACTCCTCCCCTCGGGCAGCAGGACGGTGGTGTTTGGGTTGAAGTTGCCAAGGCACACAACACAGCGCAGTTGGTAAGCAACTCGTCGGATTGTTATATTGAACCGAAATATTGAAACTAACAATCATAATCATAGCTTGGTAAAACCCTCTATCATCAAGGCGACTTGAGCTATTTCGAGGCGGTGAATAAAGAAACATTGAAGAATTCGTACCAACGATTCGAAGAAGAAGGTATTATCTACGTGGTCAAATCAAAGGGCTCAAAGGTAGCCCCTCGTTTGCGTCTCGCCTCCGAATGGATGCCGTCTCGCGACCCTGCCAAGTCAGGTGCCCTGCAGCCGTCGGGAAGACTGTGGAACTTCATTGAACGCATTGCCTCTAGCAGGCGTGAAGGCAAGAACCGAAGAGACGGTGCCACAGTCAGCACTCGAGTCCTACGACTCGCAGAAACGCTAGGCGCAAAGCTGTTCGAAGGAGCAGTTAATCCACAAAGCCAAGCCGAGGCGAAATTAAATAATGAAGAAGCAGCGAAACTCAAGAAAGCTGTTAAGGCGGAAAGGAGGAAACGGCGGTTGGAGGGTAGGGCACGTTTGTGATAGCGTGCTATGTGTACATCTGATGTAAGCTTGATACCAACTGCATGTGTAAATGGCAATGGAACGAGTATTAATGGAGAGAATTACACTGTCCTATATCGGTAGATGGGTGAAGGGAGCCAACCACTGCCACCTCTCGGCCGGTATTACCGTATTTCTAATCGAGTATGCAGGAAGACTGAAGATTGACACATCGCACCGATAAGTTTCAACGGTCCGGTTTAAAATTTGAACTGTTTGCCCTCCATTTACTGGAATAAGAATCGGTCTGCAAGAATACCCACACCACTCCATGGGATCAACACCAACTGCATTATACATATATCAAAGTTTCCGGGAGTCTCTACCCGCATGTATAATAGGGTGGAACGCAGCCCAACAAACATTGATCCATGCGCAAATAGGACAGCGGCCGATAAACGCAGATTCTAGGCCTTGGCCGGCATATAAAGAGACACAGAGGAATGCAGGGGGCCCTCCGGCACTCCTCCGAAGGAGGGTGGATACCCAAGCTACCGGGGCCACGGGGATCGTGATAGGGATATACACATTATTAATCCACCGCACCACGTCTGGATGGGGACAGGGAATAGCACATGTGATGTGCGGGGGAGTCAACCGTCCCCAACCTGTACTGGAATGGTCTCGAGCTTGAAGGTGAGTACCCAGGTAGTAAGTATGAATTATCGTATACCTGGTATAAATGGCAGTTGGACTCGAAGCAGACCTTCCCCCTTCCTCTCCCCTCCCCTCCCCCTATACCATTCGGCATTGTAAAGCAAGTGACTAAGTATCCCAAGCTACGATCGCGGTCATGACCTTGTCGTCATCTACTCACCCCTATTTTGCACCTCGGTACGTGATAGCCGCCCTTGCTGTCTCGCTAGGTGGCCTGGTCAATGGCTACGATACCGGGTCTATCGGTGCCATCACGCACATGCAGCAGTTCACGGATTCCGTGGGCGAGCTCTCGGCTACCATGCTGGGTATCACGGTCTCGATGATCATGCTGACGGGCACCCTACCGTCCCTGTTTGCCGGGCACTTCGCTGACAAGTTTGGGCGTCTCACAATCATCATCCCGGGCGCGATCCTATTCGGCATCGGAGCTCTAGTCCAAGGCCTAGCTCACGGCTTGGCCCAGTTCATTGCCGGCAGGGCGATCGCCGGGTTCGGCCAGGGCATCTTTCTTAGCAATATCAACGTATATATCTGCGAGATCGCGCCGATGCGATGGCGCGGTACGCTAACTGGACTGCCGCAGTTTATGGCTACTGCTGGTGTCTGCGCCGGCTACTTCACTTGCTACGGGACTGTCAATATAAAATCTGACATGGCTTGGCGTGTGCCGTATATCCTCCAATGCGCCTTTTCCGCCGTTCTCGCTTGGAGTTGCCTTTTGCTTCCTGACTCCCCGCGCTGGCTCATGCTGCAGGGGAGGCAAGCTGATGCGCGTCGGGCTCTAGAAAAGCTCGACTTCAATATGGCTGAAGCCGAACGAGATTTCCTCATCGTTACTGAACAGTCGCCTAGTCTTACGCCGTGGCAGGGTATTATGCTTTTGTTCAAGAGGGGATATCGCGCCCGCACAATTCTGGCCCTGTTTATCCTTGGGATGGTTCAACTGTCTGGTATCGATGGCGTGCTCTATGTAAGTATTCTTCTCCTATTTAATAAATTCCTACGCGTTATACGTAGCGTACTGACGTCTTCAGTACGCTCCCATCCTTTTCGAACAAGCCGGCATATCATCAGAGAACGCATCATTCCTCGCTTCAGGCCTTTCATCTATTCTCATGCTTATCGTCTCTATCCCGGCTTTCTTACTAGCCGACAAATGGGGGCGCCGAACCTCCGCTATCAGCGGCGGTATCACATTGGCAACGTGCATGTTCCTAATGGGTAGTCTTTATGCTGCCGACGTAGTCCACCCCTACGGCGTCGCCAGGTGGTTTGTCATCATCGCTGTCTTCGTTTTCAGTCTTACGTATTGCGCTACCTGGGGCATCGTAGGTAAGATTTATGCCAGCGAGATCCAGCCGGGCCACACGCGAGCAGCAGCTAATTGTGTTGCCATGGGCCTGTGCTTTGGAACAAATTTCCTGGTAGCTATCTGCACGCCAATCCTCTTAGAAGCATCTGCCTTCGGCGCCTACTTCTTGTTCGGCGGCCTCGCAATGGCTACTGTGGGTGTGCTCGCCTTCTACATGCCTGAAACCCGCGGTCGGTCGCTCGAAAATATCCAAGAAGCATTCCACCGACCTGCTGCGATGAGTAGCTTGACGCAACTTTTGAAACCGCTCGGTTTTGGGGCGAGGCGGAGGAACTATCCAATTGCTCATGAGTTGGCGGCAGGCGAAGAGACTGAGGTAGAGCTCAGCGATGCAACGGAAGCGGTTGCTGCTAGTGCTGTCTCGGTCGAGGCTGTGCCTAGAGCTCTAAGGCTCGACGTTTTGGTATAGATTTTATGAGTCTTTTTCGCTCAATTAGGGGTATATATATCGTTTAATGCTAGATATTGCCTATTGTCGATCAGGATACACAAACATCCTACTAGTAAGTTATATAGAAAGCAATCAATTGGTATAATTACGACGATATAACCCAAATTCCCCCTATCACTGTGGCCTATTTAATATTATAATATAAAGTACAGAGTGATCATAGCTTCCTACCTCTCGCTTTGGTCTTTTCCTTCTGCCATATCGGAAGCTCCCGTAATCACTGTAGGAGATTCCATAACCCCAGAGCAGCCCCAACCAGCGGCATAAAGATTCGAACACCATTCAACTTTCCCCATAAATCAATCAGATGTCGGACAGCCTCTTGACTCAGCTGCTTGCCCGTGCCCGAGTTAGCCGTGATCATCTTGCTATTGATCCTGCCGATGAAGATCACCGTGAAGGGGATGAGCAATAAATTCGACAGTGCCCCGGCCGCATACCCCCTCCATTCAAGCCCACGCTTATGATGCCGGGAGGCTAGGTAGAAGTAGTTCAGCGCAATTGCCGCACCCTTCGTTGGCAGGTAGTACATTCCTCTAGTGAACTGTAGATACCATCCCCTTAGAAGACCCTCTGCTGTAGTCCCACTATGGAGGACTGCCGGTACGGCACAGATCGACAGCGCAGTGATATTGCCTAGGTGAAGCATTGCTCTATTAGCGTCCCATTATTTATTATATTTCGCTTATATCCCTCGTACCAACATACCTGATATCCATGCGGATCCCAAGATGCCACCTGTGGCTGCGAGTGTCAGGGGTGTTGATAGGAAGGGCATTTCGGGAACAGGTAGTTGGGTTTAGTATAATAATATTTCAGACGGGTAAATAATCATGAAATAATTCGCTCCAAACAAAATATGAAGCTTTCTTTATGGTCAGCCAAGTACCTACTTAAGCTTCCCGAGGACTCAAATCAAGGGTATGGGGATCGAATAATACAAAGTAGTATACACAAATTTTGGCCCTAACTTCTATTCTTCAACCTTGCTTACCTCGGTGTCGAGAGGTGAATTTATTGTAAAGCTCGGACAAGTTGAATTCTCCGCGCCAGTCCGAGAACATACGACTAATGCGACTTACGAGGTATATGGTGGAGGGTGGATCGCGGGTCTCCTAGTTCTCTAACTTGACATCATCGTTACCTGCCTCTGAGTAAGACCAACCACCTAGTTAATGAATCCATTCCGAGCATTCTTAGGAAGAACTCGATAGCTCCCAGGTAATTCAATACTGTATATACACTATTATAAGATGCCGATGAGCTATCAAAGTGTATTTCAAAAGGCTTCGCCACAGCTTTATTGAGACTTAACTAAACCCAAAAACTGCCTGATATAATAACAGCTATGTATTACAATATAAACCCCGAGAAAACAACTACTCCTTATTTAAAGTAACTCTCAACGATGGCGACGTAACGCTAACAACCTTCCCACCAGAATCTACATTGAAGATCAACTCGTCCATAGACGCTGACCCGTATATGATAGACTCAATGGTTACCCACGAGCCGCATTCAGTCGAAAACATCTTATTGTCATTCCTAGGAGCATCTGCATCTTCAAACATCGCTTTAAACGCCACACGCTTCCCACCGTTTTCCGCTGGCCCCTCGAGGCCGCTTGGGTAAAGCCTGATACGGGGCGTGAGTGGGTAATACTGGTTTTGTAAAACTGTTGCAATCCAGGCAAAGTCTGTCCCGTTGCTAAACCATTGGGATATGCTTAGTCCGGGGAGTTCATCAGTGGTGATGGTCATCGACGAGTTTATTTTGTCGTTGGGATAAACGTAGTGTCCGCTGTATTGGGCTCCTGCTTCGGAACGGGCGGCCTCTTCTATCGCAGGGAGAATATGCTCTCCAATGGTATCTATTTCTGTATAAGCGTTTCTATCACCTAGAACCGTTAATATTTTAATATACGTACCGGCAAAACTAAAGCCCGTATTTCCCGGAATCTCACCAGCCAGGAGTATGGTTATTCCTATGTCAAAATCTGGTAGAATGGCTAGGATAGCACTGTAGTCTCCGATATTCCCGGCTTTGTTGAAAGCCGTAGTGTATCGATATGTGTCTTCCAGCTTGATTCTCCTGGCGCCCCAGGGCATTCCGACCATGGCAAGTGGATCGGATGAGAAAGCGAAAGGCTTAAGCCATCGCCTTGTAGACACGGGTGAGAGCAGCTTGTAGCTGAGAATTGCCCGGCCCAGCGTAGATACATCCTTGGCCGAGGCGTACATGTTCCCGGTGCTTTATCTCATGTTACTATTTTCAGCTAGATGAGTAAGTATAGAGAAGACTTACGCTAGGGATTCACCAATATCAAAAGCCCAGCCCGTTTCATAACGATCCCCGGGAATGATGCCGCGTGAGTCTTCTGGTGCTTTTAGGAATGTGTTATTTAACCCTAGGGGCTTAATCACACTCTCTTCCATCAACGTCTGAAATGTCTTGCCTGTTATGGTTTCGAGGGCATATCCGCTATACATTCAGGTTAACAAAGTATCAACTGTATCATTCCGCATATACTAACAGCAGCTGGAATGCAACGTTGGAGTACGCCGGTGTTTGGAAGGGGGCCAGAGATGGATAGAATAAACTAATCCCATTGAAAAACTCTATCAAATCATTAGTACTATGAATTCATGTTTTGTGCTATTTGCAACTCACGCTCTCGGTCGCAAGTAGGATCTACTCCGCACTATAAGATCTAATGTCAATAAATTACCTATACTGATGGAGTTAGTATTTCCGAGGCACTTACAGGGGGTTTTTCGTCTTGAGTCAAAGGTGGAAATCCGTACTCTATCACATTGTCTCTCGTATCCTCCGACTGTGTCAATTCGCCAAGTAACGCATCTACTACGTATCAGTGAGAGCTTGCTGAGTTTAGGATTGATACTGACATTCCCGGGGGATACCCGTCAATTGTGATGCAAGACCTCCAAGAGTAAGTTCATCCCACGCCACGTAGCTTACTGGATCTGATCGATTTGCTAAAGCTTGAAGCTCAGGGACATATTTGGTGATTGGCTCGTTCCAGAGGCTGTCACCAGCGTTGATCAGGAACGAGTAGATCGTATAAATCTTAGTCAAGCTCCCAAGTCTGAATACAGTGTTCTCATCAACCTTTTTAACTCCTGTACTCCTCTTGCTTGCGAGGTTCGGCGCTGTATGTGACAGCGAGAATAGGGGCTCTGGCTCGTTCACCGAGAAGACTTGCACTGATATAGAGTATTTCTGGGCTTTCCCAGTAGCATTAGCGAACACATCTTTCAGCGTTGCCACTGCGGCCTTAATCGCTTCGCTCTTAGACGGTTGAAGAGGCTTAGGGAAAACAGGTCCATCAATGGGACATGTTGGAGAAGCAGCTATAATAGACACGATCGAGCCTACTACGGCCCCAAGCCTAAGGAGACGCATCTTTCAACAGTAAAGTCTAGACGAACGAAAGAGCAATAGCTTGAGTATTATGGACGCAAATTGGTCCTTAGCGGTGTCATTATTTGGCCTAGACAAAATAAAAAGAGCCAACGCAACCCTCGAGGATGCAAGCAGGGTTCGACGCTAAGGGATACCCGAATTTCGTGCCCAGGTTGTCGGAATCCTATATTGACGCGGTATACAGGGACCTGCTGGCTCATGACAATATGTGTTCTTGTTATGGCTAAAAGTAGAGCTCCGTATCCTACCGACTGAACTTGGGGTGACTAGATATAGATACCGCAGTTATAATATACCAGGCGGCGAGATTCTAGACTTGAAAATAGAGTTATTCGTATTCGGTCTAGAGCTTAAACATCCATGCTACCGTCTGTCTTGTTATCACCTGTCTACATGTTGAGATCGGCAGTGTAGCATCGGGGGACGCCTTGGCAGATTCACACCATGATGGTAAAGGGACTCTACGACCTTCCTATCTGGAATTTGAACCGTCGAGAAACGTAAGTTGGCTCATCGGAGCACACGTGATAGAAACACTTTTCAGCGTAACACTGTCTCTCGAGAATAATTAAGATGCTCAACCTAGACTTGCTAATTCATAGCCCCGAAATAATTCATGACGTTTTCAGTAAGGTAGTGAGGTGAACCCCCAAAAGCCAGAAACCCCGGATTTACTGTATGATTCCGACTTGTAATCCCCGTCTTCGCGGGTAAAGTCAAACACATAATGCTGTTACCGTTATAGTGACTACCCTTGATCTTGGCGTTAATATTGCAACGTAAAAATGCCCGGTACCCACCGCCGGAGGAAGACACAATCCTACCCGAAAAAGGCACACGCCGTGGGCCGTTCTCATAGAAGTAATTTAAGTTGAGGATCTAGATTATGTCGCGCCTGGTTGTAGGGATTTAAATATTGCGTAATGTTACATGGTATGCACATATAGCCTGTTACATTTGTTATTAGGTATCATGATTCTATATAAATGAAATGGTGTCCAATGAAGAGTTAGCATACAATCCTATAACCAGTCTTACTATACGACGCTAATATTTACTTAAGAGGTAGACATGTAACCTCGAGAACTTATGTATAATGCAACGAACGGTCTAGCACGTATACTGATATCTTACTCTTGCGTCACCAGTAATATTCATAGACGTGACGGTTGCAATGATAATTTGCACCTCTCAGACTGTCAGTTAATTTGGAACTCCTATTCAAGACGTGCTTTTATACTTACCACCTTCAGAAAGCCTGATATTATGCTAGACGAAATTAATAACACGTAGAATACCTGATCCATTTGATACTGATTTTCTTTTGTTCTTACGAGTTTAACATCATTTTTCGGGCAGCGGCGTTAGTATACTAATACTGTCTTCAAAAGAATAGGTACCTATATATTTCATACGCCCAAAATAGATGTGCTATAGTCTATTATCACCGGGCACTGGTATGTATATTTATATCTACAGGGAGGAAATCATCGTAATTCATGAGCACCTTTTTGCTAATAATCAAAATGGAGATTTGTGCCCAAGTCTTATTTAATATCTAATAGAAGTAGTTTAATAAAAGGTATGTCGACCTTTGACAGCCTATTGGTGAACTTTCAACAAAGAAACTGATAATGTACGGGACTAAACATGAAGTGCATGTCATACTATTTTCATACATTATGAGGCAAATGTGACATGTCTTCCGATATCAGTGTGGTTTCATTTATCTATGTAATTACATATACGCACTGAATAGTGAATACTATTAAGGTATAACATAGTGCCGAAGCCCTACCTAGGACGCGTTATGTTGAGGAAGCCAACGTAATCATTGTCATATTAATCCGAACTAGCATAATATCAAAACATGTTCCTATGAGGTTTTATTTTATCTTTTGAATGAGAAATATATAGTGAATAGTATAGGAGTGAATGGTATAGGATTTTGCTGGAGCTATGTCACGGGAAATTGTATAAGACACTTAAACATAGACACGTGAGAAAGTGAATCAAGATGATCAGTATGACAGCGTGACCTGGATAAGTGGTGAACACTGTTACAAGTTCGGATCCATGTGACTTTTGCTACACAATTTTGATGTGGAAATTGGCCCTGATGCATCCTATTCAGGCAGGTGATTTCTATGGGCAACACCCTCTACCGTGGCGGCTTCCAGCATATTGCGGGCGTCTGAAGTATGTTTGCTTAGATTTTTGGACTTCATATATAAATCTCAATGGCCAAGGCGAACACATCCTGCCCGGAAAGTCAAAGAAATTTACCCTCGCAGAATTAACAGGCACCAATTTCACTTGTGAATATCAATATACATACTGTCTTGATACAGTATATCACTACCCTGACAGTAGAGCCAAGATGTATCTACCCACGTTTATCGCGACGACACTCAGTGTCTCAGGCTTGGTAGCAGCAGTCAAACTACCCAATCTCGACGGGACCTTCATAAAGCGTGAAGTCCAGCACCCCAACGGCAGCACAGTCGATGTATACCTTCGAGATACATTCCGCCACGCCAACGACAAGCGCTTCTATAAGACCTTCCACAACGATACGGAGTACACTCACACTGAGATATGCTTCGAGACCAATTTCGTTCCGAACACGACTGCGGACTCGGCACTCTGCGATGACTGCTCAGCTATCGAGACAGAGTTGAAGGAGAATTCCGGCTTCTTCGAAACGGGGGATTACAGAGGTACCGACCTCAACTTCCTTGCCGTGTGCGGAACCTGCGCGTTTGGGGTGAAACGTCTTGACGGGTCAAGCGCGCGAGTCGACATTGGCAGTAAAGACGTCGTGGACAATTTCGACTCAGCTATCATCAGGTTAGTGCTGTTATTAACTCTCATCCTATTTGCCTGTTATAACTATAGACTTACATGGAACAATAGATTTGCTCGTGGAGGCCACGTAGGTGTTACTGGTAACTTTACATGTCAGTCGGCCCCTATCAACTGGGCAATAGTGAGAGCACCTTGATCATGCATCGAGCCGAGCCTACTAACATGAATGGATGATCTGGGGAAAAGCCTAGTCGCGATGGCATATGTCGTCAGATAGGTATTTGCTTTTTCAGTCGATTGTATTCTTAGTTAATAGGTAGACATCTATTTATGGCGAATTCTTGTTTTGCGCCTCCCTAGGGTTGGTTATATCTTTAAATATAATGGACACTGGTAGATGACGGTATGCATACCTCATATAGAGATATGGACTTTTATTATTGTTAGTGACGACTAGAGTCGAAGATATACTATTGACCTCAAAGCTTTAGGAATGTAACCGTAATCTTGATAATTATCCAAGACTTTTATGGACTTAAAATCAAGATAATAAATATCTTATCACTCACATAAGTAGGTAGGTTAGGTACCTGTTATTCACTTTTGGGTCGACTATTCGGTCAACCGTCCCCTAATCTATGTACTTATCTATGTATTGACCCTAGGCCCGTCTAAAATTCTAGACGGTCCTCACGGGGCAGTAGAACTGAGCGAAGAGGATAGAAAAAAGGTCAACAAAAGGCAATGGCTAAGATATATTATGGAAAGACCATGGGAGCCAAGAGCATTGCAACTTATGTTTACTAGCGGTGCCAAATACTCGACATTTGTTCTCTTGATTACGTCCGAAACCAGACCATATCTTGTAGAACCGAACGGACTACAGGTAGATTACATTTCCTAGCTCTGTCGAGAAATATGGTATTCGAGTCTTTGAAGAACACGTTACATATCCTTCGTTGATCACCACTTGGCCTCCTTGCGGCTCAAGAAACCCTTAAGTATACCGACAATGTTCTCGAGAGCAGCCAAGTAGGTTCTCAACTCGGTGGAAACCTTATCCTGGTCATCCCCTAGCTTAGGGTAGAAATCCTTGCGGTAGGGGCAGGCGCTCATAGCAGCAGAGAAAACGGGCTTGATGAGAAGTCCGTGGTGGGGTTTGAGGGTCGTGCCGTATGCGTTTCGAAAAGAAGCGGAGAGCTCTTCAGATTCCTGAGCCAAGTTCTGGCTTAGTGCAATGCAAGTGAATTCCAGTCCTCTGGTAAAGAAGTTAGTCAGGCGAGGAAGCTTATGTAGGGGTGGTTTGGGCATCATCATACCGTGTTAGCCATACGAGACCTTCCGTGGCGACGTGCTTTTTCGTCTTTAGCTCGTTGATGCAGAGAGCTTGTAAGGTCTCAGATTCAGTAGGAGCGGCAAGCTGACGATCCCGGATTTTCTTTTTGGGTGTTAGCTCCTCTTATTCTCAAGTAAACTATTGGGTTTTGAGCCTACCTTAACGTTGCCCAACATATCAGACTTGACGGGCGAGAAGGCAACGGATCCAAGGACGTCTATTGGGAGATAACAATGAGTAAATGGTACCACTAATATTTAGAAATTTAATAGACGTACCGAACATGGTCGTTAGGGACTCGGCAGCTTCGAGGAACTCGGTAGTAGAGATGGCATTGTCGTTTTCTGCGTTAACGGGTACATCGACAAACGACTTCTTGAAGGTGTGAAGGAGAGTACCGCCGGGGGGGAACGCAGGGGCAGACATGGCTATAGTTGGTTAAGATGTTAAGGAGGTAGCTAGACGAGAAAATGTCAATGTCTCGGAAGATGATTGTAGACAGAAAAGGGAGGGGAGAAGAACATACCCACAGGTTTGTTGAAAGTAGTTTATGGAATATATATGTGAATTACCTAAGGCAAACAAGAAGGGGCGGTCAATGAAGCAATGGAGTAGATCAATTGGTAGATGGCAGATAGGGGTAGCTTTAGGTACTAATCTGCATTTGTGTATGTGTATTGTAACATTGTTACAAAAGTAGGTAAATAGTGTCTGGGTGAGGGGTGCTATCCAAAGAGGGGCAGCGGGGGCGGGGTTGTGGTCGGCCACAATAGCATTCACTAGCCACAGATCTACAGTGGCTAGGTACCTACGTAACTCCCGAGGTCATGCCCGCCTTTTGCTCCAGTTACGCTCAATGCTGCTGCATTCAGGTTCAGAATGTCCCTCGAGACACGAATGACGTCACTCCCTTTCTTTAAGCTTACCTAAAGCTGAGAAGTTGATAGGTACTTGGATGCGAACCGATCTTGCGACTATAATTAATTTTAGCCAAAACATCAAAACATCTATCGTGATTGCATTCTCGATTCTTTTCTTTTCTTATAAAATATTAAGACCGGCAACCAACAAGATCTTATTGTATCTCGGATGTCGGATGTTAAATGACTTACATAAACGTACGTTCGTGGTCCTTTCGTAAGATCGGTCCCGTTTTATAATTCTTGGCTCTTACATATAAGTCTTGGCCTTGCCAGGTATCTACGTAAGTACCTACCTACCTACATAGAACTGCTGCAAGATCATTTTATCGACTATCTCTTTCCAGCTACTAAAGAAAAACATGAGGAGGGATCGACATTTCGTAAATACTGGCAGATATGTGCCGCATTGCCGTGATACAACTCCAAACTTGGTAGTATTTAACTAACTAACTATACGAATCTATCCCATAGTTTGAAGTACTACATGTATATATGTGTTACGGCTTGACGCTCGTATCTTTATTTTCTTTTTTTCTTGTTAGCAATCTACCTGATAGAACTAAAAAATAACCTGCTTCTCATCCCAGGTAAGTTAGTCCTATTCTTACCAACATGGTATTACCCGTCCAAGACAAATTATCAGCCACTTATGACGACGTTCTTTTTATATGTCCTATCTCGCTTTCACACAACATGTTCATAAGGTGTTTCTGACATTTCCCCATACATCAGGTAGTTTATGTCCTCTTACCAATTCAACTTCTGATAATCATTTCTATTTTCTCAATTACTACAAGCAGAGCTGGAGCTCATCCCTGACTCTGTTGCGTGGTGATCGTATAATTTCACAGTGTAACCCACCTTAGCATCCCCCCCCCGGGACATTCCTCGACGTCATCATTTCTACTAAATTTGTCTTTATAACTGTAAGATAAGTATATACCGGTTCGCAATGGCCGGCTCCCATGAAAATAGTGGCGGACAAGACCACTCAGATATTTCGGATAAACTAAGACACCCATTCCATGAGTTGAAAGAGAGGCTGAAGGACACTCATTTACACGACGCAAAAATTGGTATCATTCATCAAAAGTACGTCTCGGTGCTTATTAATACTGCTTTTCAAACTGAGTATATTAACGTTATCTTAGGCATAAATTTGGGAAACTCGCAAATCTCGTGAGTCACTCTTGTATTAGTTGGTACCGGTTACTGTCACGAACATGAACACTCATAAGAGCACGTGTGTAGTTTAACCCACAACACCGTCATGACGAAGAACACGAAAAGGCCTGTGATGATAAACGAACCAAGGTTTGCGAGAGTCACCGCTTCAATTCGTATTTCCCAGAACGTGACGGCAATCTCATTAAATGGTATGTCGATGGGAGAAATTACTTTTGGGTGAGTTTGACGCTGGATTACAACACCTTCCTGACAGCCGAGCTCATCTACTTTTATAGGCTGTATCGGTAGCTTTAGAGCAGGCAAAGGAGACGATTTACATCGCGGACTGGTGGCTCTCTCCGGAACTGTTCCTTCGCAGACCTCCGTATTTCAACCAAGAATGGCGGTTGGACAATATTTTGAAGCGCCGTGCCGAGGCCGGTGTGAAGATTTTCGTCATCGTCTATCGCGAAGTCGAGGCTGCAATAACATGCAACTCGGCACATACCAAGCATGCGCTACAAAGTCTATGTCCTAAGGGTTCGCCGGGTTTTGGAAACATTACCGTCATGCGACATCCGGACCACAATTTTATGGAAAACGCTGCAGACATGACTTTCTACTGGGCTCATCATGAGAAATTCATCGTTATCGACTACGAGATGGCTTTTATCGGAGGCCTAGACCTTTGCTTCGGCCGCTGGGATGATCATCAGCACATACTCTCTGATGTCCACCCGGAAGGAGTTCGCAATGAAGTCTGGCCGGGTCAAGACTTTAACAATAACCGTATCATGGATTTCCAGAACGTCCAGGATTGGAAACAGAACGAGCTGAGTAAGGCCGACTATGGACGAATGCCCTGGCATGATGTTGCCATGGGAGTGATTGGGCCCTGCGTTTATGATATTGCAGAGCATTTCATCCTACGGTGGAACTTTGTCAAGAGAGACAAGTATAAGCGCGATGACAGATTTGACTGGCTAATACTACGGGGCCGTGAAGGTGAAGATGAAGACCTCGTAGGCGTGCAACGACCGAAACATCCGGTTGGCGAATACGTGCCTCATCCCCTAACACCTCTAGAGACGAAAAACCTCGACAACCGAGGAACTGTCCACGCTCAGATAGTCCGAAGCAGCGCTGACTGGTCTAGTGGTATATTGACGGATCACAGCATTCAGAACGCATATTCGGACATCATTCGTAACGCCCAGCATTATGTATACATCGAAAACCAGTTCTTCATCACCGCCACTGGCGATCAGCAATCTCCCATCCATAACACGATAGGAAAGGCAATCGTAGATGCTTGTGTAAGAGCTGGTAAGGAAGGGAGAAAATTCAGGGTTATTATAGTCATCCCTGCGATCCCGGGGTTCGCTGGTGACTTACGGGATGATGCGGCGACCGGAACACGTGCCATTATGGATTATCAGTACAAATCGATATGCCGTGGCGAACATTCAATCTTCGAACAGATTCGTGCACAGGGCGTTGATCCCACCGACCACATATTCATCTTTAACTTGCGCTCCTACGATCGTTTGAACAAGACACCTGCAATTAAAAAGCAAGAGGAAGTATCCGGCGTGAAGTATCAAGAAGTCCAACGTGCCGAAGCAGAGGAAGTTATGGGCGAAGGAATTCACGGCACTGAAGATGTTGAGGGCGAACGAGACAAACATATGGGCAAAAGAGAGGACCAGAGGGAGATTGATGAAAACACTAAGAGCATTGACGCTAAGCGTCGCTTCGAAGCCGCGAGGCAAGAGGGCCAGGAAACTAAGTCTGTTTCCAGCGTCGCCCATCATGCGATGGCTAATACCGGGAAACTTTCGGAGGAGATTTGGGAGGATGATCCTCAAGAGGAGGTCGACAACTGGATCCAAGAGGAGCTATACATCCATGCCAAACTCTTGATAGCAGATGATCGCGTCGTGATCTGCGGATCGAGCAATTTGAATGATAGAAGCCAACTGGGCAACCATGATAGCGAACTATCAATTGTCATGGAGGATACCGACAAGATCCAGAGCATCATGGATGGGCAGCGGTTCGAAGCAGGGAAGCATGCCGCTACCTTACGGCGATATCTCTGGCGAGAACATCTGGGTCTACTTCCACCGCAAATTCATGACGCGAGTAACGACCCGAACGCGCAACCGCCCGGACAGGACTCGCCCAACGATATTTGGGATGGAGATGAGAGTTACAAATTCGTCGAGGATCCCATGAGTGACCAGCTGTGGGAGATGTGGACCACAAGCGCAACGAAGAACACTGAGATATTTAGACATCTGTTTCACGCGGATCCGGATGACCACGGTAAGTTTTTACTAGGCTCGGCGGAGCAGCCGGGGAAAAGTTCGTATCTAATTTAATTATAGTGAAAACATTCGACGACTATAACACCTTCCTACCACCCAAGGGCGTCAAAGCCGGCCACATATTCGACAGATTCCTCCCACCAGACGATATTCGGACAAAGCTGGACCAGATCAAGGGACATCTCGTGTGGATGCCTCTGGACTACTTGAAGGATGTTAACATGGCTGAAACAGGGCTGCAGGTTAACTCGTGGACGGAAAGCGTGTATACGTGATGTGGCGATATAGGACGAAAGCTAGTGAGTGACTTGGATATCTGCTACTATTCGTAATGGGTGCAGGTGAGGTAATGAAGCGTATTCTTATATGGGTTCTAACGTGTCTACGGCTTACAAGGTATTGGCAAGGCGGTTTAATACGAAATAAGTCTCTAATGTTCTTGTATTTTAAAGCTTTGACGTAGTGATTATTGGGCTATGATAGATCTTATTGAAACATTCAATATGCATAATCCGTGTTCTGTTCCAGGCAAAATATATTATATTAAAATACCAATTTCAAAGGAGTTTAGGATGTGCCAATCCGTCCTAGGCTTGACAATAACAAGTAGTTACATAAAGATACACCGTAGTCAGCCCTACGAGCGCTCTGCGTGTCTAAAATTAACAATCGAGTCAAGGTATAGCCCCCCGGCGAAGATACAATACCGGAAAAGGCCAGCCTTCTACGACAGTGGCGTCTTACAATGCAATCCGTACGGCCGCGCCCTGCTTTCTTCTGTGCCAGGTACGCCGTCGATGATTGGTGGGTACCTGATGCCCGCCGGGTGAATTGGGCGCTGGCCTCCAATTTCTATGTACCGACCCCGAAACGGACCAATAGCACACAGTTCGGTGCCCGTGTCTCGGTACATAATCATACGAGAGTTAGCTGTGCTTCCGTGGCCTAGCTGTCGCCGATGTAACTCGTCGAGAGGAGAATAGGAAAGCTATAAATGCCCGTTATAGACATGGCTTCGTTCATACGTGGTTTATCTGCTAGTACAAATGGATGTCCGGGCCCAGGCCTGGATTCTCCGTAATTGTGGTTGCGAAGAGACAGTTCCAGACATATTCCGGTAGTCAAACATAACAGTCGACGTGCTCTCTCACAATAGCTATGTGGCGTTTCATTTTCTGGGCTACAGCCTTATCTACTTTGGTCGTCGGTCGTCCGCTCGCCGAGTGCTCGTCTAAGCCTGCGGCGTTTTTCTTGGCAGGCGATTCCACGACGGCGGTCGACGGCGGTTGGGGTGACGGCTTACTCGCTGCGCTTAAGAGTCCGGCTTGGGGCGTGAATATCGGGAAGAGTGGCGCGACGACGGCGTCTTTCTCTGCAGGCGGATACTGGGCGAATATAACGAAACACCTCCAGGATAACGTGGACAAATATGATTGCTACGTGACTATTAGTGTAAGGACGCCAGACTGAGTACGGCATAAGAAAAGGATACACGACATCCTTCATACCGGACTTGATAAGTAATGCTGTATAGCATATAAGCTAACCGGTGATACCTTCATAGTTCGGACACAATGATCAAAAATCAACCAGCGGTGTCACCTTCGAGCAGTACCAAGCTAACCTTATTCGTTTCGCTAACGAGGTCAAGTCATTGGGTGGTACGCCAGTATGTGTCCCCTATTATTCCTAGAGAGGGAAAAGATAACTATAAGCGGAGTTGAAGAAAAACACAGAGAAAGGGGAACACAGAAGGCGAAGAGCCGGAAGAGGCAACCACCTACCTACTACTGACATTAAATCTAGTTACTAACATCGTCACTTTCACGCCGGGCCTTCCCCTCAAACGATGATCACAACGCCACGGATTCGCTGCACGACCAGCGTCTGGCAGCCATCGCAGCGGCCAAAGCAACGGACTCCGCCGTCATCGACCTCAACGAGGCGAGTCTGAAGTACATCAATGCCATCGGGAAGCAAGCCGCCTGGGAGTACAACTATGGTTCAGACAAGAAGGACACGACGCATCTGAACGAGCACGGAAGCATCGTGTTCGGTCGTATGGAGGCTGATCTAATCATCCGCGCAAAGCCAAACTTAGAGAAATATTTCACCCCTAACAAGACTCTGAGCGACGCCATTTGGAACAATCAACCTGCATGAGAATCTCAAGACTGGTGGGATATTCTTGTTGAATTAGTGGCCATCTAGCTTTTCTGGATAGAGGTGGTCATGTCAATAAGTAGATTTAAGTACGCCGTCACAAAATGCAGAAACATCCGCCTCGTCTTATTTTAGTCTACGCCATCGGTGTTGATTCCCCATGCTCCCGGCTGACTGTCATGTATAATTGTTGAAATTCAGATGTCCTGTCCATGTAACATTATATCATATCCTGAATTACCATCCCCTTCCGGCCATCTTCTGTTCGGGCCTCATGCTGTTGACACTGATACCAACCATTGCCTCGCCGAGGCCTTCACTACACTCGGCCAGGACTTTCGGGTCTCGGAAATGTGTAGTGGCTCTCACGATAGCCTTAGCTCTCTTAGCTGCGTCGCCGGATTTGAAAATACCGCTGCCGACGAAGACTCCGTCGCAGCCTAGCTGCATCATCAATGCAGCGTCTGCTGGGGTTGCTACACCTCCAGCGGCGAAGTTGACTACTGGTAAGCGGCCAAGTTCGGCGGTTTGCTTGAGCAGCGCAGCGTCGCACTCAAACTCCCTCGCCAAGGCCCTGATGGCCAAGTCACCACCCTCCTGAAGCGCAGATCTGGCCCGGGCAATATCACGGTTAACCGTGCGCATATGTTTGACGGCCTCGACAACGTCTCCTGTACCAGCCTCGCCCTTGGTTCGAATCATGGCAGCGCCCTCAGCAATACGCCTCAAGGCCTCGGGTAAGTTCCTGCAGCCGCAGACGAAGGGCACTTTGAAGGGGCTCTTTTCGACGTGGAACATATCGTCGGCGGGAGTGAGGACCTCGCTCTCGTCGATATAGTCCACACCCAAAGCCTCGAGGATCTGGCACTCGACGAAATGACCGATACGGGCCTTGGCCATGACAGGAATTGTCACAGCTTCCTGTATCTCCTTGATCTTGCCAGGGTCTGACATGCGCGCCACGCCGCCCTCTGCTCGGATATCGGCTGGGACACGCTCGAGGGCCATGACGGCGCAGGCTCCAGCTTCTTCAGCGATGCGGGCCTGAGCGGCGTCTGTTACGTCCATAATGACGCCTCCTTTCAGCATCTGGGCTAGCCCTGCCTTGACGATGAAGTCAGACTTGGAAGAGGAAGGTATCGAAGAGCCATTAGTCGACGCCGAGGCGTTGTTTGCATCGTTACCCGTCATGATTGCTGGTTGAGTTGTTTCGGAGACGTATATGGTATCTGAGGAGGCGATACTTTTGACTGACTGAACTTTCTATTTCGGAATCTAAACTCTTTAAGAGGCTCTTCAAATAGAAGAATATACGCAGGGGTAAAGACGTTCAAGTCGGCACGGCACGTAAGTTATGACCGAGGCGTCTAGGGAGGCAACAAGGGACGTGAGGATATCAGAATTTCTTCACTTACGGTTGGTACATTAGAATAACTTACTCATACATGCGTAGTTTGCCGTATATACCCGTCTTCAAAGGCGAGAGATTTCAGAAGCCGGCCGAGCCTTACATGGAGTCATTCAAGGTGACAAAAAAAGGGCTCATTCACCAATCAGATGACTGTCCGGGAATTAGATGGGGCCATGACTTTCCCCAAGATGGGCATAGGTCGAGAAGTCTAAATGGCCCAGAAGGAATCAATCTATGCTTAGTTTGAGAGTCTGAGAGTCCGATCAAATGAAAATTTTACGTAGCAAGTTGGCGAGAAAGATCAAACAAGAGTACTACGCCGTACTTCGGTCGGGATGACGCATACGGCATCGCCGGTCTCGGGGGAATTTGCTCGGTACGCTATGGTACGTATTATACATTGAAGTACCTAGTAGTAACAGATACGGTAACAAAATATTCATGGGGGTTACGTGTGTAAGCGGTGACGGTAACGGCTTCGGTAGCGGCTTCGGTAACAGTCAGTGTTTGTAGGTATGTTAGGTACCTCTTATTAGGACCTCTGCCAAAAAGATTTCCGCGGGATGCGACAGACTAAGAAATAGATAGAGAGACACCAATAAGCTAAACTAATAAGAGAGAGGGTATTCACCTATAATACCAACATACGCAGTATAGAGACATACAAAATACAAGAATTACCTAAAGCTCCGGATCGTCTGCATCTATCAAATCCCGGGTCTATCGAGCTAATCCCGGGTCGTTCCATAGTGTCGGCCAACTAATAGCGAATACAGTTGGCTGGCCTTCACCAACTACTTTGCGAGAGCCTACTCGGGGATATCGTGAAGACATCCTAGTCACTGGTGGAACGAACATGGTGACCGTTGGTGTCCTCGCTCTCCAGGGGGGCTTCTCGGAACATCTCAGCTCTCTCCGTAAAGCAGCCACACAAATTACAACTCCGTTATCGAACTTCAACTTCATCGAGGTCCGGACGCCAGAGCAGTTAGCCACATGCGATGCTCTAATTATACCCGGGGGGGAGAGCACCACGCTATCTCTCGTAGCCGCACAGTCGGGGCTGCTGGGACCATTGCGCGAGTTTGTCAAGTAAGTCTGATACACGTATAACGCCCAGAGGGAGGGTATAAAATCGCTAATCTCGGGGTTTGGCTGACCATGTAAGGGTAAACAAGAAGCCAACCTGGGGCACGTGTGCTGGTCTTATCTTCCTGTCCGAACAAGCGAGTGCCGCTAAAAGAGGCGGGCAGGAATTGATCGGGGGACTCAACGTCAAAGTCCGTCGTAATCATTTTGGCAGGCAGAAAGAAAGCTTCGTAACGGAACTGGACTTGCCCTTCTTATCTCACGGAAGCGATAGAGCTCAGGCCACTCCTTTCCCGGCAGTGTTTATTCGAGCCCCTGTTGTGGATCAAGTGTTAACAGGCGACATTACGTCGGTCGACGACAAGGCGGAGAACATAGCACCAGAGGTCGCAACGCGGAATTCTGAACCCAAAGTTCAAACTTCTAAAGGAAAGGTTGAGATCTTAGCTACTCTTCCCGGGCGTCACGCCTCAAACAAAGCTGCGGTGGCATCGACTGAGGGCACTGATACTCAAGCAGTAACGCCTAAAGGAGCGGGAGATATCGTCGCGCTAAGACAGGAGAACGTGTTTGGAACAAGTTTTCACCCCGAGCTAACGGATGATATTCGAATCCACGTTTGGTGGTTAGAGCAGATAGCGAGGTTGCACGTATAAACAAAAGAATTCGATTTGGAGATGCTCATGAAACCGCAAATAATGTTGATGAAGAGGTAAAAAAAAAAAAAATTTTGTACAGGGTTGTACGCGTATATGTGATGTGAGTACTGCACAGCGGCTCTCAGGATTATCTCGAATTCGCTCCTCTCCTGAATGCGCAATTCGCACTCTTTTTCTAGAACATATTTCTATCATCAGCCGCATACGGAATCATAAGATTTCCACTAACATCACAAACAGTTCAACATCGGCTTTCTCCATCGATTCCCGTCTCCCATTCTAGTAAATCCGGAGACTGCCGAGTTGCCCTAGAATAGATAAGATACATAGTATGAGCTAAGTTGAAAAGGTCATGTATCTATCTAACTTTGCGGGGTACATGGGGTGAGCGTTCAAGAATGGGGGGTTGTTTACCTGGTTTTGGAGCAGGGTATTGCTGGACGGCTAGACTCTGGCGAGTAATAAACTGATAAACTGGAGTTGATGAGGCACTCGATTATCGGCCGAAATACTTGTGATAATTAGATGATTTTACATTAGATTCGCATCATTTGGATATTGCTTAGTTACCACTCTTTCTAATCACCTTGGCCTCGTACTTGATTCCACCATGGGTAAGAAAAAGGTCCTTGTCGGGTGAGCAAATACCTAATTTCATGAATATGAGGATATAGATAACAACAACTAATAAAGTGTTACAACAGGTACGGAGTAGACATTGATGCTGTTGCCGGCTGGCTTGGCTCTTATGGGGGCGAGGATAGCACCAGCGACATCAGCAGAGGTTAGACCTCTCCTTGTATTACAATGATTAGACTGCGTATCTAACGCCAATCGTCCCCTTTCAATTAGGACTCTGGGCTGGCACGATCGGAACTCGCCGTCTACTCAACCTATTCGACAAGTATAAAATCAAGGCGTCATGGTTCATACCAGGTCATTCGCTCGAGACATTCCCGGAAGAATGTGCCATGGTGAGAGACGCCGGGCATGAGATCGGTCTCCACGGATACTCTCATGAGAATCCGGTCGATATGACGCTCGAGCAGCAGCGAGATGTCCTCGACAAGACGTATAGACTTCTCACCGAATTCTGCGGTAAGCCACCGAGAGGTAGCGTTGCGCCTTGGTGGGAGACGAGCAAAGAAGGGACGGAGTTGATGCTCTCTTATGGTATCGAGTACGATCATTCTATGTCCCATGAGGACTGTCAGATGTATTGGTTACGCACCGGAGACTCATGGACTAAGGTAAGTACGACAAGGTCGTTTACGATTTACCTAATATTGTATCGGGTGGTAAATTGTATATTTCTGAATGCCAGCTGACCTTATCATAGTATGTTGTGAACATTCCCTTAATTTACACTCGCTTTCACTGAAAGGGAGTTGGTGTTTGGAAAGCTGTGGATATTCATTGACCCCAAATCTGAGAAATATATATAGGCATAGTGCTAAGTCATATCAGGATCGACTATAACAAGAAAGCCGAAGAGTGGATGAAGCCCCTCATTAAGGGGCAACCCACAGGCATGGTAGAAATCCCAGGCTCGTGGTATATCGACGATCTTCCTCCTATGATGTTCATGAAAAACTCGGCCAATTCTCACGGCTGGGTTAATCCGAGGTTCGTAAGAGACTTAAAATATGATTATATATCAGGTCTAATTACCAGCCTAGGGATGTTGAAGACATATGGCGTGACCATTTTGATTATTTTTATCGCGAGTACGACGAATTCATCTTCCCGATGACGATTCACCCCGATGTGTCGGGCCGACCGCATGTCCTCTTAATGCACGAAAGGTTGATTGAGCATATTAACAAGCATGAGGGGGTAGAATGGATGACATTTGCCGAAGTAAGCATAAGTTCATGGATTTGAGTCTATTTAGCACTGCTAACTGTCGAAGATGTGCGACTACTTCAAGAGTAAGAACAAGCCGCCTGAGGGAGCTATGATGCCCGCTCCTCCGGGGGAGATCCTTAAGAAGTCAGGGGAGTAATTGAGATGGTGAAGAAAGACGGTCGGACGCTAGAGTGCATTACCTAGTAAATTGAACTATTATGAATCTCTGCCGAAGTCTCCTCTTGGTCAGGTGTAAGTGGCAGTAATACAGATAAAAAATGACGAGAATCAGTAACGTTAAAAGGCCAGGTAAATTTTAATAAAAGGCCAACCCATCTACTTTCCACGTGAGATAAGAGCCAGAACCTACAACCCACCCAATTTGTATTGGGATTAGTTTAAATCTTTAACAATTTTAAAATATATACCGGTCGCATACATTACAACATAATAATCAATTGAATAAAAATAATATTGAAGCTATTCCTATTATTTGATTTATTAGTAAATAACCTGATATAATGTCGTTTATTGAATCTAAGCCTGTAACCCCCCCAAGGCCTAGTACAGCTACCTTGCCATTTCGAACCCCATCTCAACGTATACAATCTATTATCGACCTTGACGATATTACCTCCCCAGCCTCGAATCGTACGAATTCCCCAATCAAATCCCCAATAAACAATCAAGAGGCTACTCGGGCTACTCGGGCTATCAACAGTAGTCTCCAGAGCCTTCCCAGCAGCCTTAACAGCCTATAATTCAACGGCAACAGGCACCTATTGTGCCATCTCAACGACCTACAGGGCAACCAAATCAGTGGCCAAATCAATATGACCAATCAAATCAACAGCCTTGGTCACCGTATCACTACCCTAATTGATTATACAGGGCTTATTGAGGCCAGGTAGGCCAGGTAGGCCAGGTATTACAAATAACTAATCATGTAAATATACTAATTTAAAAGCCTGTAAATACGTATTCAATTCAATTATAAATAAGCCAATAATCAATTATGGGAATAGCTTTAATATTATTTTTATTCAATTGATTATTATGTTGTAATGTATGCGACCGGTATATATTTTAAAATTGTTAAAGATTTAAACTAATCCCAATACAAATTGGGTGGGTTGTAGGTTCTGGCTCTTATCTCACGTGGAAAGTAGATGGGTTGGCCTTTTATTAAAATTTACCTGGCCTTTTAACGTTACTGGACGAGAATGTATAAATTGTACGTGATTCAGATTAGGGGTTGCACCTAACCTCTCGGGCAAGTTTATCAATAACGGTACCGATTGCGAGGACTTTCTCTTCTTCGAGCTTCCTTCCAATTATTTGCACCCCAACGGACAGTTCGAGCTCCATCATCTTCCCCTTTTCTCGAGTCCATAGAGCTTTATTCCACTCATCTAGTGCATTCCTCGGCGTGTGATTCCATGGTGCGTGGCCATCGATAGAAGATACTTTACCTGCGGGGATAACCAGAGCCGAGTAGTCTAAAACGTTCCATATCTTAGTATATCCCACCCATCGACAAGCACGATGGGGGACAGCTGTATGTGGCATAGGTGGCATTAGCACAACGTCAACCTGCTTTCCCGTCTTTGGTGACCTAATCTCATTCCATTTCTCGAGATACGCTTGTTGGAGCGCCACTTTACGCTTGTTCAACTGCCAGTACTCGTAGACAGAAATAGGCTGGCCCTTGTTGACCAAAGCTTCTACGTGGGGGATAAAGGGTTCTCCACCGGCTTGAACATCACGGCGGATATCTTCGCCACCGTCCGCCGTGTAGAATTCATCCTAAAGACCACAAAGATTAGAAAACTGAGGTGAACGGCCATGAAAGATGCTATCTAACCATAACCTGGATGCACTCGGCGTGGAGGTTGGAATTCCACTCAACGACATCATGACCGGCAGCTTCGAGACTTTCTACCAATGAGAGGAGCACTCGCGTAATCGGCGGATGCGATCGGACTACTCCGTCGTCAATAATCAAGCCAATTGTCAGCGGCTTAGACCCGAATTCCTCAAAGATTTCCTCCCTCCATGGTATAGGTACACAACGAGCGTCATGTTTCCAGGGTTCTAACTGGATCAACTCTTTCATCACTAGTGTCAGCGACGGTAAATTTCGCATTAGTGGCCCTACTGATGAAGGAACATGGTCTTGTCCTTCGGTTGACACAGGTACTCCTTGATATGGGAGACGAGAGCTCTAAGCCAAATCATTATTAGTTCAGGGTTTGCGTTCGGATAGTTTTAAAATAAGAGATATGTATCTTACGCTCGGCTTGAACCCGTATAAACCCATCATATGGGCGGGTATCCGAATACTACCGCCGATATCTGTCCCCCAACCAAGAAGACTCCCGCGAGAGCTTAGTAGCGCTACCTCGCCACCTGTTGAGCCGCCGAGAGTGTAGTCCTTACATAAAGGATTCGTGGTAAGGCCCCAAAGCGGATTCTCAGTCTCACACCACTATAATTCATGGTCAGATACCAAGTATCTTGTAGCGCCAAAAGTGAACCTGGGCTCACCATTATGCTCTGAGGGAGATTCGTCTTGGCCAGCACAACAGCACCGAGTTTCTTTAGCAGCGCGACAAGAACCGCATCTTCAGTCGCGGGATTGGATGCGCGGCCAACATAGCCGAGTGTGCTATCATAGCCTTTAACATTAAATTGATCTTTAAGGGTAACGGGAACGCCATGTAGCGGTCCGATGACATCCCCGTGCTCTTTTTGATAATCATCGAGCTCACGAGCCCGCACTAAGGCCTCTTCGAAAAGAATTTCAGTAAGACTATCGCCACTGTTAGCCAGCTACCGACCGAAATCCCATGATGAATAGACAACCAACCAATTCGTCTAATGTTCTCAAGAGATACGATTAGTATATAATTTACAGCAACATATCCGAGCGAAAACCTACTAAACTATGTGTTATAGCAGCCCTGGCGAGATGAATCAAAATTAGTAACTCGCGAAAATTACCACTGGATTTCGACTTGATGCATGTAGTAGGCTTCTACGGAACCTTTGAATATATGCTTCCGTCACGGCTACAGAACTTAGCTTGCCAGAAGCAAAGCCACGGACCAGCGCCGAAATATCCTCAATATATAGCAAGTCCACATCAATCTATCATTCCAATTGATTTCAGCAGCCGCAATAGTTATAACAATCACGTCTCACTCAAATGGCTTCTTACATGTTTGATATTGTCTGCAATGGCTAGTGCTTGCTTTTGAGCTCTGCGCTTCAAGCCGACCTTCTCTTGCCATCCATCTAGGATTTCCGCCATTATGAGACGACCTTCTATTTACCAAGACGTCGAATTCACCAGAATCAATGTACTGTGCAAGGCTGGCTATGAGGGGTATATTTCCAGTGCCAACCCATCGGCTTCATAAGCGACGTATGTACTACCGATATGTAAGAAGTCTGCAAGAGATAGGCTGGAGACAACGTCTTGGCAGAGATCAATACTGCGTAACATGCTGCCTATCTTATCCGTGTTCTCTGCTACATATCGTATATGTACATAAAGTGGTGTGATATTTGACATTTTGTACAGGGATATTCAGCAGCATATCTAAGTGTAGCAGTAAGAAGTGGGAGGGTTGTCAGATAAAATGTACCCTAATGCCGGTACCTGGCAGCTGGATAGGTAATAGGGTAAGGAATAAGTAAAGAATGGGGGAGGGGCAAATGCAGAAAAAAACGTTTCAGGGGTCTAAGAGGACCCGAAGGGGGGAGGGGCGGGGTGGTCTGGGGGTTATTATGGATAATCATCTCATTATTCAAACAGTTTTGAGGCAGGTCCAAAGGTTGATAATGACAAGAATGGCAACAGCTCTAGAACAAGTCGAAACAACCCACTGTTTTAATATCCAGTTACACGTCGCTTTTGCCTCTTAAGCCCCCATATGTTTCTTTCCATACTCCCTCCCCCCTGTCCCCCTCAGTTTGAATTAGCCCGGCCAGTCCGATCTAGGGGACCCGGAGTGGTTCGAGAATGGCACCAAACCACCTGACAATGGCCTGAGAACAGTGCGAATTGATATTTTATAACTTTATCTACTCAAGTGAAGAAGTGAAGTAAGCTCATTCGTCCCCTTTGGCCTACCAGACCTACTAGATCTTACCTTGGCTTTTAAAAAGTCGCCAGACGGGACGCTGTTCGCCGGTAATACACAGTCTCCATTGAGACTCAAACTCGACTCACCCATCCCCATTCATCAAATCAATCAACCGATGAAATCAATCCATCTTACTGATCGGACCAACCGTCAACGACCCACCACTACTACTTCCCCCAAACGCCGCCTCGTTACTCTTTGCTACCTCAAAGCAAGCCACCTTGCTATTTATTGTGCTCTGGTAGAAGCCTTTAACGTACTCGCATGAAATAAATCTTGTCTAGGAAATTGAAACCGGCGCCATGCTAGTAGATGAGGTAAACGGTGTGCGACAGAACGGCGACACCAACGGCAGCACCAATGGCGAACTTAATGATCATGGTCCAGCCAAGCGCCGTGAAACCAACGGCTCACGACACAGCTCCGAAGTCTGCGTCGTCGGAGCTGGGCCTGCTGGCTTGATGTTGGCGTAAGTTGCATTTTATTCCCGTTTTTCTTTCTTTCTTTTCTTCTTCTTTTCCATCCGTAGTCTATAGTTATAGAATGAAAAGAGAGAGAAATAGTAAGACCGTTGTGGTCGCCACCGTTATCATCTTCATCCCTAAAACAACTGCCTTAACGCCCACGCTTACATCCAAACCATGCAGTACTTTACTATCTAGATTCGGCATCAGTGTTGAAGTCATAGATGAGAGGCCCGATCAGACTCAAGCTGGTCGTGCTGATGGGTTACAACCCAAGACGATAGAGACCCTGCGTCAACTCAGACTCGCAGATGGCCTACTTATGAGAGGCGCCAAGGTGTATGACATATGCTTCTGGGAAGCCACTGCAAACCGCCGATTAAGACGCCTGGGTCGTGAGATCCATTATCCGGCACTAGTTGTTGACCTTCTCGATGACTACATCCTCCTAGTTCATCAGGGGGTTGTGGAAGGGGTCTTCATAGAGGATCTTGTAAAGCGGGGTGTCCCAGTGAAGCGCAGTCATCAGTTTCAATCTTTTAAACGACAAGAGGATGACGCAGGCTTATTAGAGATTGAGTGTAAGGCCACAAGCACCGGGGAAAAGGAGACGACATTATCCAAATATATAGTCGGATGTAAGTTACAAACAAGTCTACACATTTCAAATACCCCTCAGCTGACCTTATTAGGCGATGGCGCCCGATCTAAGGTGCGAACCTGTATACCAGACACATATTCAGTAGGCAAATCTCATGAATCTGTGTGGGCTGTGCTCGATGGAGAACTCGTATCAGACTTCCCGGACCTCTGGTCTAAGACGGTCGTCTATAGTGAGGTGCACGGTTCCATACTTATTGTCCCGCGGGAACGGGGCACTACTCGATTCTACGTCGAGATCAAACCGGACATCGAGACCGTTAACTTACGAGAACTCGGACAAGAGTTCGTTATGAAGCGTGCCAAGCAAATCTTGGCGCCGTACTCGGTTGAATGGCGTACCGTGGAATGGTTCGGTAATTATCAGATCGGACAGCGAATAGCAAACAAATTCGCCGATCCGCATCTGCAAGCTTTTATTGCCGGAGATGCAAGTCATACACATTCACCCAAGGCTGCACAGGGTATGAACACTAGTATGCATGACAGCTGGAACCTTGCGTGGAAATTGAACCTCAGTTCGAGAGGTTTAGCTAAGCCGGTTCTACTCGAATCATACGAGATGGAGCGTAGAAAGATTGCTCACGACCTCATCAACTTCGATTATGAGCACGCTAATAAGATTGCCGATGGTGACGCCAAAGCCTTAGCCGAGAACTTCCGCACAAACGTGCGATTTATCTCAGGAGTTGGCGTCGAGTACGATCACAACGTACTTAACCATCCGTCTAAGCGTAGTGGCGGCGAGCTGAGGCCGGGATGTCTCGTTCCGCCTGCCAAGGTAACACGATATATCGATGCGAATCCGATCGATGTCCAGCTTGACATTCCCATGTTGGGCCAATTTAGGGTGTACTTCTTTGTGCCAGATATCCACAATAGCATGCCGTTCCTCCAGACCTTTTGTAATGGATTGACAAGGCAGGACTCATTGTTTAGGAAACTGAGTCAAGCCGCCGCGGCCAGCTATTTGGAAAAGCCACGAACACCCACTTCCGAAGATGTTTATATACGTTCAGAGAGATACACAGGCGTGAGCGAGCTCACGACGTTTGCATTAATTAGTATGGAACCCCTGATTTCTACGTACTTTTTACAAGATGATTTCAAGTAAGCTAACCTCTCTAATGCAGCGACTATGGAGAAAGCTAGAGTTGAGATCCAAGATCTGCCCCCTCTCTTCGCTCGAAGTGCATGGACATTCTACCTGGACAATGTGCCGTACCTAGACACGCGCAGACAGACGTGTACGAGCAAGTGGGTAGGAACTCTACAGAAAGACGAAGTCTCCATCGTGATCCTACGGCCCGATGGCTACGTAGGATCGATTAGCAGGTGGGATTCGCTAGGTGTTAACGCTGGTTCAACAGCAGCCGATTGGCTCAATTCTTACTATGACGGATTCCTTAAGGTTCCTGACGAGAAAGCGAGGTAATGTTAAGCTACGAGCATAATAAGGAGGGGGGGTTGAGGAGTAAAATACCTGCGTGACGATGTCTATGGGCTCATTTTTATCGGCATTTTGGCAAGTTGTACGGTATACTTCACATTGGTGGCATTCACAGGTTACATACACTCTTAATTTACACATCCCTCTTCCTTGAGTAGGTAGTCGTCCTCACGAGGACCCCCTGATTGTGTTTTGAACTATTCATCATAGTGTAGATACTATCGCCGTAGAATTTTAACGTCTGACTACACCTTTGTCCCACGACGAATAGCTCTGGCCTTTTTTCCTTTATATTGTGCGTTTATATTGAAATACATACACTCAGACAGTAGTATCATCAAACTGTCCTATCAACCTCCACGGGATCAAGCCTTTAAGCACGGTGACGCCGGCATGCACGATTCCCCAGCGAACTTTACTCAATACCTCTGCCATAACCCACACCAAACCACTTGTCCGCTTCAGCCCTTGTATTTCGGGAAGACCATGAATCCCCACTTCTACCATCGAGTCAAGAAGCATCCGCATCTCTGCTTGAGCATCCCATACTAGTTCACTATCATCTTCGGGGCCGGAACCAAGCCCTTTGGCGCCGGTGTGGTGGAATGTCCATACCGTCAACGTGGCTAAGTAAAGACACCACGGTACGTGGAAAAGGCCCATAGAGTCGAAATCGACGAGCGTCTGTGATGCACTTTGGAGTAATTGGGCCGCGTGCCAAACTGCCGCCACTGCGCTCGCAGATCCGTCAGTATTGTCAGAACTTGGGATCGTGTGGCTCATAGCCCATCGTTTTACGATCTTCTCTGAGCGGATGAAGTCGATCCGTTGGACGGACCGCCCGAGGATATGTCGCGCCCCAGCAAATATTTGTATGTCGAGGAATTCCGAATGTAGAAGCGTATGAGCTGCATGGTACACGACCACGTACGCGGTACGCCAGACGTCGAGTTCGACTCTGGCATTTTCGGCGACGGTACCCTTTCTCATTTCCACGGACGTGAGGTCGGATAAACGCAGACAGAAGTTGTCAAAGTCTACTTTCCACTCGTGGTAAGCCTGTCCAATACGGTTCTGCCATCGGCCGCCCTGCGCAGAGATAACGCCGAGACTAGTCTGGTCCCGCCGCCGCATGTCCCAGAAAATGGACATTAAACCGTGGAGGATGAATATTCTTGATAGGCCATTGAGTCGAGGACAACGGTGCGTATCGCGCGTGATATAAGACTTCAATGTGAGGAGGTACATTGGCTCAGGTGCTGTGGAGAATGAGAGACGTGACCATTCGGCGGCTGTGGATGCCTCCCATAGTGCTTGGTTGCAGGGTAGAGGGACCCGTAGCTCGAAGGCTGACATGCAGAGGGATTGGCAGAATAGGACGGCGTGTTGGGTATCCCACATGAAGCATAAAAGAGCCAGCCTGGATGGTTTTATGTTAATAATCATCATGAATGAACACTGAGGTTTGTAATATATTAACCTTTTCTTCTCCTCAGCCTCTACCCATTGTCTCCAGCGACGGTCATCGACCAAGTTACCCTTATCATCATCTTCATGTGGGCGAACTGGCCGGACAGACTGGCAGTCAGACCGCCTGATCAGATTGATCAACATCCCGTGAAATAGGTGGCTCATGTCGTGTTGCTTCTGGCCTGCTCTACTCTTCCCGAAGCATTCGACTAACAGGATTGTCTGAAGCATCCAGAGGTCTGGTTTCGGGTTAAAGCTCGCGTGAGAAAATACTATTCAAGGTTAGAGTTATGAGAGCATGACCTCCTGACAGGTTTAGGAAAGAAACCGCTGTTCAACGAGTATAGTGAGAGTTCATAAAAATACTTACTCGCCGGACGAATTACATCATGTATGCAGACGGCAAATTGGTGTGCCTCTTTCTCGGAGTCTAAAAGGGGGAATTAGCAATGCCTCGCCATTCATATAGGAAGGATGTGGAAACCACTCACAAGTAGCCCCGAGTAGAATCATAGATAAAAGTAACAATGATTTATTTTGGCTTGGCTCAAAGGTAGCCAGGTGTATTAATGGATATGCAGTATTGAACCTGCTAAAGTATAGGTCCAAGTAGGTTTGCAACGAAAGCTGTGACATGAGCGGATGGTTGACGTCGAGAAGGGAACCACTGGGTGCTAACGGTCTTGCAGCCTTAACCGTCTCTAAGATCTGGCTATACGTGTAGTCGTCTATATACGGTAGACGGTTCGGCGGTTGAATAGTAGCCAGGGGTCGCTCAAATTGTGCTTCTCCAAAGCCATTGGGTCCCCGATGGGCTTGCTTCGGTACCGGCGAGAGGCTAACGGTGGTTCTACCTGATGAACCAGGACTTATCGAATCTTGGGTACTCCCTCTAGAAGGCATACAGTCGAGAGATTCTATGGGTGTCAATGAGGTCTCGGTCATCCCCCCGTCATATGTCCTAATACCTGGAGAGAGGTTGTCTTGACTTGAGCTCACAGGTTCATGATGTTGAACGCCGGAATGCATAGCCAGGGATGTAGTAGGAACATACGGGGTATTCGAAACGGCAGCGCTCGGGACATTGTTATCTAGACTAAAAAGCCAATCATAATTTACTTGTGTCGTATATGGCATGTTAAACGAGCTTGCCGTGTCCGGCTGGAATACTTCATCGTAGTTTATGTCGAAGAAGGGAGGCTGGGATGTCTCGGGCGCAACCCAATACCCGCTATTACCATGAGAGTCGAACTGCCCCGTCGTAAGCGCGTAATCTGGCAAAAGGCTATGACTGTGGCTATGAGTGAAAGCCGTATGTGCTGCGGGATCGTTGTCGCTTTGGTGGTCTGAGTTATGAGTTGATACGGGAGGTGAAATGGGACCTTCTACCTGGGGCACGAACGGCGCTCCCACACTACTACTGCTACTACTACCACAGGAGGTGTTCTGTTCTACTGGCTTCTTCTGGACGATCTGTCCGTCATGGTCTTTCCACATACGCTTGCGTGTATTCAAGGTTCCGACGCCTGTGCCTCCAGCTTCTTCATCCTTCTGTTTATGCCGGTTCATATGCCTTTCTACACGGCCGTGTCAACCCCCGTAGATCTGAGACGGTGATAGGGTTCTCACCTAGAAGGTCCTGGCGCTTGAAGTGGGCGCGGCACCGCGGACAGGTTGCATCCCCGTCGGTATGGTTCTTTTGATGACGATGAAGATGCTCAGACCGCGAGAAAGATTTACCGCAACCGTCATAGGTGCAAGTGAACGATCGCCTGGTGCTACCGTCACCCTCCCGAGTTCTATTCCGCTTAGCTCGCTGCATACTGTCCAACCTCGCAATAACCTAGCAAACTCAACTAGTTGTCATTCACCACTTTCAGAGAGTCTTGTCATGTGGATCGTCTCGGAAAACGAAAACCCCCATTCTTATCCTCCCAATGGATTTTAGAGGACGGAGTAGAGACGGAAAGAAAAGAGGGGAGAGGAGTGTGTATGTTTCAATGGCACTAGTATTCATTCTTGACGGATTGTAGAGTGAGCACACAAATGTTTCCGCCAAGAACTGTGTAATTATCAAACTTACACTTCAGCTAGTTAGTTATGTCCGTACGATAGTAAGCAAGCTGAATAGTACCCCTTGTTCGAATCAATGCCGGCAACAACTGCCTCATTCTCGACGTGCCTACATATTCCCCCACCTTTTCTATCTCGTAAAAATGATATGTTACTATCAAGAGTGGGGTTGCCATAAGTAGAACCATTTTACGTTTTATGGTGTTGGCCAGAGATAAGCCAACGGGTCTTCCGTATGCGACTAGGTTAGGTACTGTGGGAAGGAGTAGGTAGTGATAAGGAGGGGCATATATAAGATGTCATACAACTAATATATACTGAATAGGCCATATATGAGGTCTAATTGATGATATTCCTGATGATCTTATTCATTGAGGTAAAATCGTGGGAACGCGTGTTACACCGCTATTTTACATGAGACTAGGGATTTTCAGGTCACCTGACGTGGCTGACTAATCTGACATAAGATTTCCACCACTTAAAGTGGGGTATTAGAATTCTTTTCTAATACAACGTCTTTTTACCCCATCATCAAATATCTACTATCTACAGTACGTAAGTTTGAGGAGTATAAGCTCGCTTTACCTAATTCATAATAAACCCTTCCCAAATATGTAGCCGAGGTATATTACCGTCATGTACCTACCTACATCAGGTAGTTATACAATAGCGTGTGCATATACATATGATAACAATGACTCGTCGGGAAGACGTAGGCATTACATTGTAAGCCGGATCACCGAAGAGGTGACATATGGATTACACCCCAAGGGCGGAATGCCATGATCCCTGTATATACATAACGGTTATGCCTTACAGGACTGTTGTCGAATCTCTTCATTTTTTATCTATGATAACCATCTATGATAACCATCTATGATAAGTAGTCGTACGAAAGATATATCATGCCGTTACTTATTTACTTAACTTCTATTCTCCCCTTAAACTGAAGGTAATAAGGTCAAAATTACCGTCATATTAATACCGGATTTGAAAATGGCTCACAGATTTCGCCCAAAGGTCTGGCAGAAAGTCAAGAGAGATGCGTCAAGCCAACTTCACGTAAGTGGATTACGAACTTACCCATATACCCGTTCAATTTATTGAGCTTCACTACAGATTATAATCGTAGGTGCCGGGCTCGGCGGACTTGGCGCAGCTGTTTCTATACTTCTAGCAGGACATCGTGTGACCGTACTTGAAAGCGCATCTGAGATTGGCGAAATAGGTGCTGGTATTCAGGTCTTGCCTAATTCATCGAGGATATTGATTTCTTGGGGACTCGAAGATGAGCTTGTTAAGCATGCGACGAAGCCTCGGTACGCAAACATTATCGGCTGGAAGGGTAATAAACTATCAGCAATGGACCTCCATGCTTATGAGGAGGCTCTGGGTACCCCTTTCTGGGATTTTCATAGAGCTAACTTACACCGTTGCCTCCTCGATCGGGCTGTTGAGCTTGGAGCTGAGATTTGCGTGAGATCGAGGGTCCAGGCTATCGAATATGCCGCGGATGGATTAACGGCAAGCGCTGTGCTAAGCGACGGTAGGATTATGTCCGCAGATCTCATCGTCGGCGCAGATGGCATCTCATCTCGGCTGCGCGAGGTTCTCCTCAGCAAGCCAGATCCCCCTTTACCAACAGGTGACCTTGCATATAGGCTCCTCATCAATACCAAAGACATGTTAGCAGATCCTGATTTACGACACTTTATCCAAAATCCTCAAGTCAATTATTGGATAGGGCCCGACGCGCACGCGGTAAACTATGTCCTTAGGGGCGGGGAATTATTCAACATGGTCCTGTTAGTCCCGGACGATATGCCTGCAGCTGCCATGACTGTGGATGGGAACGTAGAAGAGATGCAAGCACTATACAAAGACTGGGATCCCACAATAGGCAAGATCTTAAGTCTGTGTCAATCTGTTCAGAAGTGGAAGCTCTGCATACGACCTACTTTAGAACAATGGTCACATGAATCAGGGACATTTACACTATTAGGGGATGCTGTTCACGCAACACTACCGTACCTCGCTAGTGAGTTGCACCTCGTAACATGCCCCGATTTCCATACTATGAAAGTCTTAATGTTCAGATATACTTTACACATTTACTGACGACCCACCAGGCGGTTGCGGAATGGCACTGGAAGACGGAGCGGCCTTGGGTCTCTGTCTTGCAAAGCTAACCAACAAGTCTCGCGAGCAAAAGTTATACGCACTTAAAGTATACGAAGAGTGCCGAAAGGAGAGGACTGAGAGGGTAGTTGAAAGGGGCAATTTTCAACAGTACATGTACCATCTTCACGACGGTGAAGAGCAGAGGGAAAGGGACAGAAGACTCAAAATGTTTGGGCAGATTGATGAAGAGTTATTCAAAAATCCAGAGGTTATCACGCAACCACGGTCAGAATCGGGGGATGATCCATTACCTTGGAGGTATTATGGCGTAGGAGGCTGGCTTTTACCGTATGACATAGAGACGGCTGTGGAACGTAAATGGGATCAGACAGGAAGGGAAAACCAGGCGCCCCCGCTACTATAGATACTTGGCATCATCACTAGTTATCATGAATCAAACCTCTTAGATTATCCTTCTTACTTTTTTGTTTCTCCTATTCATCTTCCTCGTCCCACCCAAACCCCCAAAGTCAATCCTAAGGGGTACTTTTAGTGGGGATTTTATCTCTGCATAAGAGAAGTGTGAAATCTAAGATGGGGGTGAAAACACAGTAACACGCCTTCTCATCCTTTTAAACCCTACTAGAGTGCAAGAAAATGTAAATTTCATACAAATGTAAATTTCATACGAACTATGCTCTATGTCTAAATGAAGATTTTCCAACACTCAGAATGCATAGGTGGCTAGTTAAATGTTACAAGCGATTAAAACATTTCAAGCTGTCTCTGCCGCGTAGATGGGGTAATCCGTGTATCCCTTCTCAGGAGGCACCGTAAAGTAGAAGGTCGAGCGGTCATACTTAGTTAGCGGGATTCCGTCCGCGAGCTTTTGCGGCAGGTCGGGGTTCCCAATGAACCACCTTCCGAAGCAAACGACATCAGTGGCCCCGGACTCCAGCTTCGGGACGGAGTTTTCCCAGTTGTAGCATCCTGTGCTTAAAAACATAATGCCACCTCGTTGAAGGATGTTCCTTAATGGTAACAGCGAGACGGTAGGCTCTTTGTCGTTCTGAGTAAGGGATTCGACCTTTTTCTGCTCGTCCAAAACCTCGTCGAACCGCGCCTCGACCCTGAGATAAACGTCAGTGAACCACTAGGGATATAATAGCATTGTCCATTTTCTCTTACATATGAACATAAACCGGCCTTTGGTTTGCAGGCAAATTCACGATTTGTTCGCATAGATAAGACCAGTGCTCTAATCTATTGCTGTCCCTGGTAGATTGGAAGTAGTTCCAAGGGCTCAGTCGTATTCCCACCTTGTCAGAACCTATCGCGTCGCAAACAGCTTTCAAGACATCCAGGGGGAATTTGCATCGGTTTTCAACGGATCCACCATATTCGTCGGTTCTATCGTTGATGTTGTCGTGAAGAAATTGTTCCAACAAATAACCGTTGGCGCCTATAAAATAATAGCTCGGTTAATCAACTATCAACGACCATAGGGAATTCTCACCCCCTTTCACGTACCATGAATTTCCACACCGTCAAAACCTGCTTCTACAGCTCCCTTCGCGGCCCCTGCAAAATCTTGAACAATAGTCTGAATTTCATCTTTTGTCAGGGGCTTTGGGGGATTGGAAGCGCAGGACGTCCCTTCGAACCAAGAACCTTCCATGGGGCGACTGCTGGAGCTCACTGGCGCCCTCCCACCAAGACATGAAGGGGGCGAGGCCCGGCCCGTGTGCCAGATCTGCAAGAAAATGTACCCTCCTTTAGCGTGAACAGCGTTGGTAACTTTCTTCCAACCCTCAATCTGAGAAGAAGTAAAGATGCCAGGGATGCCTGGATACCCCCCAGCATAGTGGGAGATATCGGTAGCCTCAGAAATCAGCAGTCCACCCTTTGTAGCACGCTGTCCGTAGTATTCTACCATTAGATCACCGGGAACGTATACACCATCGCTCTCCTTGACCCCTCGCATGCGAGTACATGGCGCCATGGCGATACGATGATGAAGTTCATAATTTCCCAACTTGATAGGGGTGAACAGCTTTGTGTCCTTCAACGGCGCATATTTTTGGGACATTATAGTATTCTCGTATGTAGGGATTTAACGGTCGGTCGTGATTCTGGGGAGATGTGCGCTTTGAAGGAGTTCGTCAAGTGTAACTTTCTAAGAGCTTTTACGCAGCCAGAGATCGAGAAATATGAGAATATACGGAGTTTGATGGATACATGGTACTGTTCTCAGCCATCTTTTAGACCTAACTGTTACACTAACGGCCCAGCCCAACATAATCCACCATTCAACGCCTGGTCGTAAGTGGGGATAGCTTCACGGGAGCTTGATGTCGGGCAACAGTGGGGTTAGTAGTACTTCCAAGTATGATCCTTGGTGGGGTGAGTACGTCCATGTTATGTATGTACATAAATGGGGAGCTAGGAGTGGTCGCCACATATATGGACGGGTACAAATATATGCAAACCAGGTATAGACATACAAAATACATGTGAGTATGTAAGTAGGCAACCTATGTATCCAACGTGTTGGTACATAGATTGGTAGATCGTACGGTGCATTTGTAATAACATTAAATCATTCATGTTTATAGGGCGATAGATTAT